TGTTCACGTCCACATTGTGATGAATGATGAAGAAAGAACATAATCTATAATCAAGAAATTCTGCCACATTGAGCCAAAAACTGCAAACAAATAAAAAACTTCAGAGAGAAAACATTACAGTAAATTTAAAAATAATGCCAACTTCTGGGGTGACGGTGGCACAGGAGTTAAGTGCTCGCCCAGTAATCGGAAGGTTGCAGGTTCGAGTCCCGCTCAGTCTGTTGCTGTCGTTGTGTCCTTGGGCAAGACACTCAACACACATTGCCTGCTGGTGGTGGTCGGAGGGACCGGTGGCGCCGGTGGCGCCGGTGCTCGGCAGCCTCGCCTCTGTCAGTGCACCCCAGGGCAGCTGTGGCTACATTGTAGCTCATCCCCACCAGTGTGTGAATGTGTGTGTGAATGGGTGAATGACTGATTGTGTTGTAAAGTGCCTTGGGGGGTTCCAGGACTCTAGAAGGTGCTGTATCAAATACAGGCCATTTACCATTCTGTAGTCTGAGTTGGGTAGTATAGGTTGCCAGACACACTGTGTCGGTACAAGATCTGCTCGGGATCCTTCGGCTGCCGATGACGTCAAAGTACGGCAAACCCACTCGGACAAAATACACTACACATCTTTATAATGTTGGAAAGAATTTAGCAGTTCCATTATTAAAATAATGTTTCTTAAGACGTAAGTTTGTGTTGATAATGGTATTTGTAAAATAAAACACTATTTTGTATTCATAATGTTGAACTCCTCTTTGAGCACATCCCTTGAAGGATCATAGGTATTAGCAACACCTGTGAAATTGTATTTGCAGGAAAGAAGTGTGTCCCGTTCATTGAAGTATTTTGTGTTTAGAGTTTTTGACGTCTTGTCCATGCGTAGTTCAGTTACGCTCATAGCTGCTAGCTAAAACTCGGGAGTTAAAAGTTTTCTGGCTGTACTAAAATACCTGTCTGTACTCATTTGATTGATGGTAGTTTTACTTTCTATTAGACTCCAAATGTAATCATTTGGCACGTTTCTAATTCATAATTTGTAAGAATGTAATCTGTGATATTAGCATTAGCATTCCTATGGGTTTTTCCATGTATATTAGCATTGCGCTAACCACTCGCTGCCAAATTGCAGCCTTTGCGATTAGAAAATCTCCTTTTGTCACATCGCAACTTAATTGCACATGAAATTAATCGTTCAGCCCTAATATACATGCAGCTCTATGCTAAAAGTGTATTTTCAAAGAGGTAATGATGGATTTCTTTGTAAAAGTTGTCCATCTTTCCAACAGAAAGATTTGCCTGGACCAACGTAACGTGATACCAACGTAACGTGATTACGTAATTCCGTAAGGTTCACATTCAGCCAATCAACTACTTGGACGTCATCGGCAGTCGACGGACCCCGAGCCGATCCTGCACCCGAGCAGATCTTGTACCAACAACGGCACTGAAACGGTCCCCGATTGTAAAAAAAAAGAAAAAAAGAAGTCGTCTTCTGAATTAGATGAGCTTCTTTTTAATACTCTCTTATCTGGAATTATTTTATTGTAAATCCTTGAAACCCAGCTTAAATTTGTTTTTTCTAAAGTTTCATTCAATATAATTAAAAAATATATATATTTTTATGTTGTAGCTATCAAGCTCTAATGAACCTTTTTAAAAACACAAAAGAATATTTTGGCTTAAAGCTTCTCCCTCTCCAAGCCAGCTGGTGGCAGTAATTCACAGATCTGTTGTCTGACCAGCACCACTGTAGTCCAAGAGGAGGCCAATGGGCCAACGAGAGGGAGTAAGGAGAACAAAGAGGGTGTTTCTCAAAGGCCTCGTTCGAGTTGAGCAGCGCCTCGCCTGGAAAAGAGATGCAGCAGGGGGAGTGACTGAAAGTCGGCATTAAAATCGGACAGACTTCCCTACATGTAGCTTGTGGGTGACGACGGCTGAAGATATGGCGTTATCGTTCATATTTGTTTAAATTGTCATTTTAATTCTGGTGCCTGTTAGCAACTGAAACACATCCTCACATGCTTGTGGATATCATTTATGGTAGACATGTGACATGTAGAAAACATGCGACCAACTAAGATTTCACATTCGACCACCGGATGTTTGGATCAAAATGGGAACCAATCAGATCTTAGATCAGGTGAGAGCCAGGCGTTTCCCATCATGCCCTAGGTTTTGCAGCCGGTGGAGTGCAACTGCAGCGCCTTGCTCCAAAATCTGCGGCCGCCTTGATCTCACGAGGTTATCGTTGCCTACGTATGCATGACGTCAGAGCAAGTTGGCATTAAGCCGGACACAAATCTAACCGGCAAGCCGATCACCGGTGCAGAACTGGCTCATCTCAAACACGGCCAATGTCAAGGCGCCTGTCTTGTGAGGCCAGGCATCTTGCTTACGAGGAGTCCTTTCTTGTTCAAAGAAAACGGTCAAATGGAACAGACTCACATCAAGAGCGGCCATGTAATGTCATGTGACACAGGAGATAACAAATAGGTTTCAATATAAATACAGAAGGAGACTTTTACTTTTTAAATTGTGTATATGTTGGTTAAATTAAATATGTAAGCAAGTTACTACCCGCTAGCCACCGAAGCTGCAACTAACCGGCCACAGATAACTGCTTTGCATATTAAAAAATAAACATTTTAAATATCAGCCCAATTGTTTACTTACATTAAGACTTTAAATGTGCCCCCAAAGTGAGCTGCTGGCTCCTGATCTGCCATCCTTTTGAAAATACCGCACTGTATTCTGGGACATTTTTGACCAAGGCCAGGCTACAAGGCGCCTCCCATGTATCCTTGCTCAGCTAGCTTAACAGTTAAACAGGGAACAGACGCCTCGGTAAAACATGAACTGTCAGTGTGACCCACCAGCGTGTAAGTGTGTGTGTGTGTGTGTGTGTGTGTGTGTGTGTGTGTGTGTGTGTGTGTGTGTGTGTGTGTGTGTGTGTGTGTGTGTGTGTGTGTGTGTGTGTGTGTGTGTGTGTGTGTGTGGTAAAGCGCCTTGGGGGTTCCTGGACTCTAGAAGGCGCTATATCAAACACAGGCCATTTACCATGAACATCGGAACACGCCTTGGCGATTCCTGATGGCGTATCTCCTAGGAAACCGGGGCGGGACCAAGACATCAAGGCAAGGTTCCTTGGCATTGAGAAACACCCGGAGAAATGAATGAATCAGGAAACGATTAACATTTTTCACTTCAGTTCACCATTTTAAACTCTATGTTGTCATCCCATTTACCTGGGTTTTTGTTTTCAAATACCTTAATCTTTGTGTTATGAGAATATTTGAAAAAAGGTTCATACCACCTTTAAAATTACCTAAAAGGTTTTGTATTTTTTAAATTATTTTGCATGTTAAGACGTTCTTTAAATGGCCTTTTGTACTTGTTTAAAGGAGATCAAGACTCTAAACCAACATTTTCCTGATGTTTTTGTTGAATAAAGACATACTGGGTGGTCAAACGCTAGTTAGAAAGTAGATCACAATCACTTTTATTGGCCAAACTTGTAAAACAATGAAGGAATGTGGCTTTTATTTCACACGGTCACAACCTTAAAGACAAAATGGTGAACAAGACACCCACATGATGATGGAACAAGATTATTTTTATTCAGAAATATAAAAAGACTGCAGCTAAATCCCAAAAAACGATATTTAGGTAAATTCAATTCAATTCAAGTTTATTTATAAAGCGCCAAATCACGACAAGAGTCGTCTCGAGGCACTTCACATAATAAACATTCCAATTCAGGTCAGTTCATTAAGCTAATCAGAATGTCTGTTTCAGAGCTGCAGCTGGGGGTCAGCGATAGGCAGGGAGATGGTGTTTTGGTGACTGAACATGTGAGAACATAAACAACTCCTGTTGTCCATGAATCCTCGGCCCAGTGAGGCCAGCTCTGTAGACATCTTGCTGGTTCACAGCCTGGATGGTCAGTCATGCACACAACCTGGTTCATTCTTGGTGCCTGCAGACAGAAACACGTGGGAATCTGTATTTTGAGATGAAGTAGCAATCACTGTGTTCCCTGTTTGACCTTTGGCCTTACCTGTGGTTCTTCTCGACAACTGTTCTCCCTCTCCATCGGCATGAGTTCCCATTTCTACCAGGAACACCTGAGGGATGAAGATCTGAGCTCACACATTACTGCCGATAAACAATTCCTACTGATGCATCAGAAGTTCCTGTCTAACCGCTTTAGCGGCTGATTTACGTTAATCTGATCTTTGCTGTTAGGGATGAACGCGGTAGCAGCGACACTAAAACACGCGTGCAACATGCTGGTTAAACACTTTTTCTGGACAAAAGGTACAAACTTAATCTAATGTCTACATGGGTGCATGCTGTTGGTAACTAGCACTAACATAGTTATAGTCATGACAAAACTTACCCATCAGTCATGCCCAGTCGCTGGCAAACTGCTGGTTGGTCCTCAACAACTTTATTTGGAGTCGGGTTCAAACATCTAAGGTTGAAATCCACATGAATCTGTATCTGCAGCAACAGGCTAGGAATATATTAGCTGCTACATGCGGCTAACGCTACACACGGCTGTAACCGGAGCGTCTAGCTTCTGCCTTCGGAAGCCTTCTGGGGAGCCAACCAATCAGCAAGCATCTTGTTATGATATTCATGTCCTGGCCGAGTGGTTAACAGGTCTTTTCAGCGCAGGGCTGAAGTAGAGAGGTTGGAAAGGCCTGTATCAGAGCTCCTGGGGCAGATGAAGGCCAAAAGCAAATGTTTGGTGCTTTTTAGAGGCTGAAAGCACCGTTTTAGACTGCCACGTAACTGCATGCTTTGTTCTGGTATCTGGAGTGAGAGAATGTGACTAAACTTCTATATAAGCAGAAGAAAGGGTTACACCGTGATATAAGACTAGACTTCTGGTGATGGTGCCCAGTCCCATTGGTTATTTACAAATAAAACTTAGTTTTCTGTCAAAGAAAAGCAATCCAGAAGTTTTAAGGACTCTGACAGATGTTTCCCTGAACTCTGTCTTGCAGGTTGCCATGCTATCCATCCCAGATCTGATCAAAAAGAAGAGAGATGGAGGAGAGCTGAGTGATGAAGAGATCAAGCTCTTCATCAGGGCCGTCACATCTAAAACTATGCAGGACAGTCAGATAGGTAACAAGAGTTAGACTCAAACGCTGAGACTCGGCTACTTTTACCAGCACCGCCTGTTCTAACCTGCAGGGGCCATGCTGATGGCTGTTTGGCTAAAAGGGATGGTTTCCACGGAGATTCAGACCCTGACTAAAGAGATGATGTCATCAGGTCAAGTGATGTCATGGCCGGACAAGTGGAAAGGGTTGACTGTGGACAAACACTCGACGGGGGGAGTTGGGGACAAAGTGAGCCTGGTGTTAGCACCGGCACTAGCTGCCTGCGGATGTAAGGTACATCGGGGTCCCAAATGCACCGTTTATCAACCGTACTTAAGCACAGATCTGAGCGTACATCAGGCGTAGGAAGTAATTTATGCATTGTGAGAGATTGAGTGGTATTCCTCATTTTGTGCCTGTAACTTCAGACCATGTGTAGGAACATCTTGTGCTGGGGTCGGCAACCCGCGGCTCTGGAGCCGCATGCGGCTCTTCCATCCATCTGATGCGGCTCTCTGTGCTTGTAAAATAATGACTGGATATTTAAATAAAATGCTTTATATTTTACTGCATTAATTTTACACCTGTAAGCTAATTCTAAATGTAAAGATTGTCTGGGTAAACCTGAACAGGTCCAACCCGGTCTTACTGTGAGACCGGGTTGACGCGTCACGCTTGTGCGTAATCATAGGCTCTTTCTGAGCTGACGAGGACGTGAGATCCTGGGATTCTCCTCAGATGGCTCCTGGATGTGTTGCCACATTGGAGACAGGAACAAGCACTATTCAGCCAAAGTTTCATCATTAGGGAACATTTTCTAAGTGACGAGTCTCTCTGAGCGACCGTGTTATGAAAACACTCGCTTCAGTCGGAGGAACCTTCCCGCATGCGCTCTGGTTCTGCAACGCGCTTCAAGCCCCTCTCCACATCTTCAGCTCGCTGTGCACCTTATGTAGTACACGCTGACAGCGAGCTGCGCTGAGCAGTGTCCAGCTCAGATGTTCAGATGGGAATCTTTTCTTGAGTGATTTAGCTACATCTGCGATGTGCGTAGAATAAAGTGTCAGTTCGTCTGCATGCGTCGGGGTAATTCTTTCTATTCTTTCTCCGTCAAAATAAACGGTCAAATATGGGAACTGTCCGGTCAACACAAGCCCTGCTTTTAACTGTTCTGTTTTCTTGTGAAAATAGATTAAATTAAACTTGATTAACACCAGAGGCAGGCGCACTGCGCCGTTATCTCCGTCGCTGTAAATGAGGGTAAAACAAATTGATCGGATCCTTTTCTGACCTTCCCCACCTACAAAGTTTAATTACAACAATCAAACGTGACAGAGCCTGGATTTGTATTCTGAACAGTCTAAACATGTTTTAAAAGGAAACGTATGACAACAGTGGCGCCTGCTCAGTAAAACCACCAACAGGGTGAAAAATATCTAAATATTGTAGCAGAGACGGGCTACAACTTCTGGATCCACTTTATATAAATCGTTTTATTGATTATCTTCTTATGAAAGATAACTTTGACGTACACGAGCGACCGGTACTGGCTGCTGTCACCTGTTGTGAGCAGCGCTCTGCTGTCTGAGGGTAGGCCCCGCCCACAACGCCGCGGCTGCTGTGGCTCCCAGTGTTTTCTTTACTGTGGGAAACGGGTAATAATGGCTCTCTGATGGGAACAGGTTGCTGACCCCTGATCTAGTGGTAGAACGGGGACCACCGAAGGTCTCAGTCATCCACACATGTTCATCATCCACTAATTATTTTATATTTCAGTGGAAAAACAGCTGAGTCACATGACTGGTGCTGAGTCACATGACTGGTGCTGCAACACCCGACGGGAATCTGACTTTGTAGAACGGATGTCGTGTCCGTCTGGAGCCATGCTGGGATTTGGGATCCCGCATAAACCGCACCAATTCGATTCCGGTCCATGTTTTATTTTACATCTACCAGAACCTCCTCTGCTCCCCATCACATGCCCGTTGTCATGGTAACCAGACTGAATGACAGCTGAGAGGCTACACTCAGACATTTCCTAATAAGACGAACTCCATCTAGAACGACTCCTTAAATGTAAACGAGAACCCGTTACTCTACGGTTCATCAGACTAAAGTTTTTATTTGTTCCTGACAGGAACCTCTCCTCGTCCCGACCGCGGTTAGAACCTCTGCTGCTCGTTTGGTTCTTTTGCACTTCGACAAAAAGTGTCTCCATCTCACAAGTTTTCTTTTTGTAGAACCCTGGGAATCCCTCACCTGCTGAGGATGTAGCATGACCAAATATGGTTAATTGAGGGCGTTCCTGTATGTAAATGACTGAGAACAGACACGAGCACCTGGGTAGCACAGGTGGGATTCATCATCGAGTGCGGAGGAACGTGCGTACGAGCGGCCACCGCACGTTTCATAAATCAGGATTTTTACCGTTCGTACGAACGTTCTAGATTTTGTTCATAGGAAGGAGTTTAGGATTACTTGTATGAACGTTTGATGATTGAAGCCCATGGACACAAAACACACACCCAACCAGTGCAGACGACAGTAACTCAGGTGCATTTTTTTTCAGGTGCCAATGATTAGTGGGCGGGGCTTGGCTCACACAGGAGGGACTCTGGACAAACTGGAATCAATTCCAGGATTTAACACGCAGCAGTCAGCTGATCAGGTACAGTAAACACAAGACTCTTCACACACACACACACACACACACACACACACACACACACACACACACGATCAGAGTTTAAACCAGGTGTCTGTTACAGATTCGAGATATCTTGGCCTCAGTGGGCTGCTGCATCGTCGGTCAGACAGAGATGCTGGTTCCTGCTGACCGAGTTCTGTACGCGCTGCGAGACGCAACCAGCACCGTGGACAGCCTGCCGCTCATTACTGGTATTGAACTGGGATCACATGTGCAGTCAGAAAGCAGAACATTCATCTAAAACAAACATCTGATGATCTCCAGGTTCAATTATCTCAAAGAAAGGAGCCGAGTCTCTGTCTGCTCTGGTGCTGGATGTGAAGTTTGGACGTGCTGCTCTGTACAAAGACCTGCAGGGTGCCAAACAGCTGGCACAGATGTTGGTAAGTAGAGAAGCTACTGGGACTGTTGTGTGATTTAGCCTTGAGCTAAACTCTAACTTAACCTTTCTGAGTGGTGACATGCAGAGCGTCTCGTTTCAGGTAGAAGCCGGTAACAGAGTGGGCATTAAAACAGCAGCTGTGCTGAGTCGTATGGACGGGACCATTGGTCGATGTGTGGGAAACAGCCTGGAGGTGCTGGAATCCCTGGAAACGCTGAAGGGGAACGGGCCCGCTGACCTGATGGAGCTGGTCAACACGCTGGGTAACAACATGCTTGTGTACACGCACCGACTCTGGCTGAAGCCTAGTTTATACCGCGCGCGCGGGGGGGGGCTCACATGCACGCGTATTGATGGACACGTTTTCTTTAATTCTTTGTTGGTGTGTGTGTGTGTGTGTGTGTGTGTGTGTGTGTGTGTGTGTGTGTGTGTGTGTGTGTGTGTGTGTGTGTGTGTGTGTGTGTGTGTGTGTGTGTGTGTGTGTGTGTGTGTGTGTGTGTGTGTGTGAATACAAGTCCCATTAGTTGTCAAACACGGTGAAATTTGCTCTCTGCATGTGACTCGTCCCTGTGGGGAGGGGTGAGCCGCACTCAGGAACTACTGGTGGTTTAACCCCCCCCGATCCAGCCCCTTAAAGCTGAGTGTCCAGCAGGGAGGCATCGGGTCCCATTTTTAAAGTCTTCAGTGTGACCCGACCGGGCCATTTGAACCCTGACCTCCAAGGCCCAAGGCGGACACTCTACCACTAGGCCACTGAGCTGATAGGCTCAGGTGTGGAGCTGCGCCACACCAGAAACTCCAGCATCACGGCTATGAAATCCTCCACCGCTCTAACTGGAGACGCCCAGAGGCGAAGAGGAGTTAAGGTCCGTGTGCCCCCCCCCCCCCCCCCCCCCCCCAACGCACCCCCCTTTCCTGACTGCTCTCATAGGAGACGCACGGATGAGTAACATGCAGTGGCGGTTTTACCATTATGCATAGGTCGGCGGCCACCTGGGGCCCCCTTATGTTGGGGGGGCCTCCTAGCCCTGACCACCGGCACCCCTCTGTCAACGCCACAATGGACTATTCCTTTAAGACGACAATGCACAAACAGGAAGTGATTGGTAGTCATTCGAGTCCAATCCAGTTGGTGGCGGGTATGCACCAAATTGTTGTTTGCCAAGTGCCATAAGATCACAAATAAGAAGAAGAGAAAGCAGAAAAAACAGAAGAGAGGCACGAGCATTCGTAACAAACTTGAAGCGGTAGTCAAAACATGAAGCACGAAATGGAGTTATGCTAGTGGCTCCAATAAGAGAAAGAAGCAGCTTGCTTTAAAAAAGCTGTTATCTTCACTTCCAAAAGTGACATCGTTTTTCTATGTAAACATCAAAAGGAAGCAGAAAAGGAAAGAAAATGGAAAATGTTTAAAGGGAGGAAAACAGACCAAAATGGAAATTAGAAGAAAAAAAAAAGAAAGGCAAAAAAAAGCACAGGAGAATAAAGTAGAGGAAATGTTGAAAGCACTCAAAAGGAGAGAAACACAGGAAAAAAGAGGAGGACTAATAAAAAGTGAAAATAACTCATGTCAGAAGAGGGGAGAGTTTTGCAAATCCAGTTAAAGATAAGATTGTCGAAAACTTAATGTAAGGGGGCCCCATGTCTGTGTTCGCCTTGGGCCCCCAAACTGTTAAATCCGCCCCTGGTAACATGTCCCATGAAGCCGGGACACTGGGGGTCACTGCTGAACCCTCTGGAGACGTCATAGGCCTAACAGCGAAACGTTGAAGGAGGACACCCACTTGAAAACCCATCCAAGCTGCAGGTCTTCTGTAGTGAGAAGGGATTGTGACGTCTAGTCCTGAGAAACCAACACCTCTGCAGCGCCTTTATGAAATGACGTTCTGCGCCCGAGGGTATTAAGATCAGAGGAACTGAAACTATCACCTTGGTTACGCTTCTGTAGTTTTACACTTTCATTTAATACAAATACTTTTCCAAACTCATTTCTACCATCAACACAGCTGATCATTTGTTCATTAATAACAAAATGATATTAATAAATACTAATAATTTGGTTGTGTGTGTGTGTGTGTGTGTGTGTGTGTGTGTGTGTGTGTGTGTGTGTGTGTGTGTGTGTGTGTGTGTGTGTAAGAAGTTGCTAAATTTAGGAATTATAGAGGGAATCCTAAAAACCACGTAGAACCATTTTGATTTAAGAGTTCTAGGCAGCCTTGTTAAACCTATTTTCTAATAAATAATTGATCTGCTTTTAACAAAGTAGAGTTAAACCTGGAGACTTGCCTTTTAGCATGAGACTAAAGTTTTCAAACAAAAAACTGTTGATTTACAAGCAAATATCAAGAAAAAGCTAAAAATGCTGCTAATGCTAAAACCAACAGGCACAAATTAGCTAATGCATGGTTGGATTATTAAAACTTGTTGTTTTGGTTTCATTTCTACTTTAAATGTAATCTTCCCAAAAATCAGTAAAAAAACAAAACTTACTCGTAAAAGTTTTGTGATGCGGCGTCATCACCCGACATCCAATTCTGAAGAAAAACAACATGCTAACATTAGCCTCATTAGCGTAAATGGCGGCAGGAGTGGGTCACCTGCTAACAGGGATACTTCAGGGACAAGCGGACAAAAGAGCTTTCTCCTCTCGAGCGCAGTTTTGCTTTGCTGAAACTCTAAAATTGATCTAAACGACATTCTTTAAATTTGTATAAATGTATATTTTAGGACTGGAAGTGGTCTATAAACAAAGTTTTGCCTAAACTATAAAAAACAATAAACACATGTGAAGCACTGAGTTCTTTGAAGAGAAAAAAATGCTACTTAAAGGAGACTTGTGTGTCATTTTCATCACATAGGGAGCCTAAGTCACTTCCACATCATGGGACCCCGGAAGAACAAAAAAAGGAATGCTAGTCAACGGGGCTAAAAATGCTATTTTCTAATCCGCTTCGCCTTACGCCCTGGATCACACATGTTGTACTGCAATTTAAATGAAAACTATTGATGGGTGTTTCGACCATGCCAGTCACGTATTTAGTGATTTATTAGCTTGCAAAAGTCCGTAATTAGCATGACTACACACCAGAAATCAACATGTCGCATATGTGACATCACCACATAATCTCCTCCCCCTAGCGTGGCTGCTACTTACCACATGACCAGATTAATGGTGGTTCTTTCCTCCTGTGGGAAGTTTGCTGAATTTACAGCCATTTTCCCTCAGTATTCTCCGTGTCTGGTTCGATGACATCACTTTCGTGAAGCGCATTTGTAGTCCTGGACTTATTTTCACACAAAACCTAAAATATCGTTCGCCCCGTTAGAAAGTAAGCACGTTCTTGGTATCAAAATGTGTCTTTAAAATTCACGGACATTATACGTGAAATCCACGGCACAAAACAAACGTAATTAGAAAATAGCGCTTTTAGCCTCGTTGACTTGCGTTCATTTTTTCGTTCTTCCGGGGAACCGTGATGCAGAAGTGACTTAGGCTCCCTATACTGATGGCAACTGATAAATTTAATGTTTTGTCAAATGAAATGAATAATTTTAATTGTCTCTGGAAAAACTGTCATGCAATCATTGTGAACGGCTCATTCCTAAAGGGATATTCCACCTAAATGGAATTTTTGTCTGTTGACGTATTTCCCAGAGTTAGATGAGCAGGAAAAAACCATTTTAACCGTTCTAGTCATTCCCTTTACCCAGCTGTACTTGTTTAGCTTTAGCTTAGCATAAAGCACAGTAAGTGAATGGATCCAATTAGCGTTGTGAAAACCGACCTAAAAAATCGCTCAGTAGTGATCCCGAATCTGCTCGGTGACCTAAATAATCAGAAATATGTATTAACATAAAGGTTCTATAACTCTGGGATGTATGTCAACAGACCAAATTTCTATTTTGAGTGGAAAATCCCTTTAAAGAGACACTTGGCCGTTTTGTCTTTCCCATCCCCTAGTGTTCCATTAGTGAACGCAAAAGTGAAACGTATCTACTCGCTGTGCGTTCGTCTTTTAAACACCTTAATCCGACAGCTCAAGCATCTCCCCAGCCTTCATTAGTTTCTAAAGGCGCATTCATCACTAAATCAAGCAAAGCAGCTGTGTTCAGAATCTAAAACACGCTGAAAACGTGCTGGAAGCAGATTGCAGCGCTGCAATGTCAGCACGAAGGCCAACAGGGCCCACCGGACTGGCAACTCTGAAGTTGCAAGTGCAATAATCTAACCACAAAGGGCGGTGGGAGTCTCAGTGACATTTCATTTACCCCGTAAAAGGTCACTTTAGTAAATACTGGCTCAAGAAAATTATTTAAAAATATGCATGAATGAACGGCTGGATCATCAACCATCCATCAAAGAGCTCCTCTAGCGTCTCTGCCCCGATGCACATGAGGCAGGAAATGCACGTTCTCTGGAACAAGCTAGCAAAGCCAGAGCTGCCTAGTCAGGGCCAGAACATCCCGTTCGGTTTGCAAATTGGCAAACATTTGGGTGACTGACCCACGGTCTGGAAAATATCATTTTCTAGAAAGTAAAGCAGAAATTTTGAACTTTGTTGTTGTTTTAACTTCTTTAGGTGGGCTGCTGTTGCTGATGACTGGTGTGGTCTCCAGCCTATCAGAGGGCAAAAAGAAGATTTCAGAGGCTGTGATTGGTGGACAGGCCTTGTCTAAATTTGAGGCCATGATGGTGGCTCAGGGTGTTGCCATGGAGACAGCCAGATCCCTTTGCTCCGCCCACACGGACTACTACAGCATCCTGAGGAAAGCGCAGCAACAGCTGGACCTGACGGTTCCTGCAGATGGTAAACCTGCATCTGATCTTTGTGATAATCATATATAATATATGTGTCACATATCCGTATATTTACTTATTTTAATTTTCTAACCATGGATTTTTGTTTTGAGATTCATTTTGCTGAGTTTAGAAACTTTACTTTGTAGAAGTTTGCTTGTTTATGCTTTTTTTTAGCATCGAGGCGATAACTTGTTTACATAAAATGCAGTTTAAGTCGTGTGTCTTCATCCCTCTCTGCAGGTGTCGTCGTGGACCTGGACGGCTTAGTTCTGGCTCAGGTTCTTCACAAGCTGGGGGCGGGGCGATCACGAGCAGGAGAGCCCATCAATCACAGCGTGGGGGCGGAGCTACTGGTGTCACCGGGTCAGCGCGTCAAGAAAGGTGAGAAGTGACGTTAACCATGACTGGGATGTTGATTTCCACCTGATTACCTGCTGGTTTTAGGTGAGTCCTGGTTGCGTCTTCACTACGACCATCCGGTTCCAGATCAGGTGGCTCTTCTGCAGAAAGCTTTGAGGGTTGGAAAGGACAACAAAGCAGCGGAAGGAGAGTCTTCTCTGGTGGCAGAGCTGCTGCTGCCCAATGAGGCGCACACTTTGTGACGTACTACTTTTTTTTTGTTCGTCGGCGCCTAGCGCCCTCTGCTGGATGTTTAGGAAGTAAATCTGACAGGAAACGGAATGAGAATGAACAGTTGATTTTTGTAGAAGAGAATAGACTTTAATAATCCCACAGCGGAGAAGTTCACTCATTAAGGCGGCACATACAGAGAATAAGAAAAAATAATGTAGATAGATACACAAAAGTAGGCCATTACCGAAAGCTAAACGGCATACAGGATGCACATCTGGGTACGGGTCATGTGACAAAGGATAATGCCAGTACCAGTTCAACTGTGGATTTATAGTCTTACTGCAGGGGGATTGAAGAACCAACGGTAGCGTTCTGTTTTACATGTTGGACGTCTCAATCTGCCACTAAAAGCAGAGAATAAAATTCTACCACTTTGTCTTTAAATGATTGTTTTTATTTTTTGCTTTAATTTGGGATTATCACGAATGACTTCCAAAATACAGTCCCTTATTTATTTTCAGTGTTTTTAATGTGAATTTATTTTGTGTATCATTTTTTCCAGTGAAGACTTTAAAAATTAAACGGTGGAACATGGAACGCGAACACCAAAGCCACATCTAGGGTGTGGAGGGTGTTGTTGCAACAATAGGACAAGGTTTCCAGCCGTCGGGACACCAGGTTCGCTGCCGATACGTGAAATGTTTTATTTGTGTGTGGCAAGGTGGATAAACGAGGGCCCAGGCGGAATTCGATCCGCAGACTCCCGGGTGAGAGTTATACGCTCTAACCAGTCAGCCAAAGGGACATCCCCTTGGCCAAGTAGCCAGGGCGCATGATCAATCGGGACATTGTGACAGGACGCTCACACTGTCCTTCTGTTGTAGGCTTCACCTAGGGGGTGGATCCAGGAAGCAAGTTTAGAACATTCTCTCCAGTGGTCATCAAAGGTCAACCTGTAGAAACTGTGGAGACATATAAATATCTCGGGGTGTACCTCGACGATAAGTTAAACTGGAAAAGGAACAGTGATGCTGTTGTTAAAAAGGCCCAGTCCAGATTGTTTTTTCTTAGGAAGCTAAGATCCTTTGATATAAGTAGGAGGCTCTTGAATGTGTTTTATCAGGGGATTATGTCCAGTGTGTTGTTTTATGCTGTGTTGTGTTGGGGCAGGAGCCTCATTGCTGAGGACAAAAACAGGATCAACAAAATGATCAAGAAATCTGGCTCAGTGGTTGGGCAACGCTTGGACTCATTTGACATGATCATCGACAAAAGGATTAAGCGTAAACTTAAGACAGTTATGACTCTGGAGGATCACCCCCTTCACCACATTTTTAAGGATCTCGGGAGCTCTTTCAGTGGGCGAATGTTAACGCCCCGGTGCTCCACTGAACGTTTTAGGAACTCTTTTATTCCAGCTGCAGTGCGTTTTTACAATGACCATTTCGTATGATTGTATATTTGATATTTTCATATTTTATTAGGACCAGTGAATGTTTTATTGTGTGGATGTGCATGTTGTGTTTACTTGTCCAAGGCAATTCAATTTCCCCCTTGGGGATTAATAAAGACAACCTTGAACCTTGAACATCGGGGCTCTCCTGATAAATTCCTGCTTGACAAAGCGCTCCCCTCCTCTCCCGGCTCCACGAACGATTCTCAAGTGGATTCAATCGCCTCTAATCCAAGCGAGCATCGGCAGTCAATGCTAACGATTGTCCATAGGCAGCCCCGATTAATCGATGCTAGACAAATGAGAACAGGACAGATCCTCATTCTTCTTCCAGATGGAGAAATAATTACTCATTCATGACTAAAGATATCAGAACTAAAATAGAGACCATGAGCTGTTTGAACAAAGCCGTAGAGTTGGCGCTATTTAATGTTTCTTTGGCAACGATCTTGTTTTTCCACATATTTTATTAAAGTTTCATTGTTTATGTGTTGTTTTCTTGTTCTGCTCCAGAGTCTGGATGTTTAGAGACCGGAGGACTTCATTATAAACAGCTTAACAAATCAGACTTTATTAAAATGATCTCAGACTGACAAAAACATGAAGTAGAAAACAAATCCAACATGTTATTTATAAAAAATACAAACAGAAACAGAACAATCGAGGTTCTGCAGCTTCACCACTCATCACGCCTCCCAGAACACGACAGCAACAGAACTGAGCTGTACTGTGATGGGTTGCCATGGAGACAGCAGGGTTCAAAGGTCAGTGTACAACAGAGTTGAGCGGCTCAGCTCTGATGTTCCCTAAATCCAGCGTGGAGTCGGTCTCCTCATCAATCTCCCCGATCACGGCGCTGGAGCAGAAACACGAGAAACGGTTAGAAGCTGTCCGAGGAGCAGCCGAGCTCCCCGTGCACCGGGACGTCCTTAGGGGTCATCATTTCTCATTTAGTTTTAGTTTGACCGAGGTGACTCACACGTTGTCTCCTCTAACGATGTAGAGGCCCAGCACCACCTGCTCCACCCCCTGGTTGGAGCTGAACACGCGCTCGTGGCTCTCATCCAGGATCAGGTTGATGGTCTGATCAAAGCCCTTCAAAGTGCCCTGAACACCCAAATGATAAATAAATAAATATAAATAAATAAGTACAGCACCTTTCAGTCAGAGGATTCCAAAGCAACTTAATATTATTATTCATCAACACGCTGGTGGTGTTGAGCTACAATGAATCATACTTAAAACAACCAGGCTAATAAAATACTAATAGTTCAGATTACACTTGAACTTTTATTTCAAAATGATTTTCAGTTATCTGCAGTTTTATGCCCCAAAACAGTAAAAATCTGACCATAAAAGTAAAAACGTGTCTGTCAGCATCTGTAGTGATGGGAACAGGACTAGATTTCTGGATTTACAGTCGAGGGAAAAACTAAATCCCCTGTGACCGACACCGGTTTAAATGAGGCTTCGGTTCAGGTGGAGGGGAAATCCTTGTGCTGGAGCCTCAAACATCTAAACACCAGAACCGTATCATCTTCTCTGCTGTCCAGCTGAGCTGAAAACGTGAACTCACCACGATCATCCTCCCGTCTGAGGTGACGATGGCAACAGTTCCTGGATCAGCTGGAGTCAAGGAAACATCATCTGTGCACAACTCATCAGTAAATTACGTCTAGCTTCTCCGTTTTCACCCGAACAACAACGATGGGTGTGCTTCAGTTAAATAACCCGACATCTTAAATCAGAAACAAACTAAATATATTTTATTCACAACCCGTGAAACCGAACTAACGCAGATCAGAACCGTTAATATCTACGTTTTGACGCCATCTGATCATATAAAATTCTATCAGTGATTTTTTTTTATGCAAACACTGATTTGAAATTGAACTGCTACGTAAAAGTTATTCCAGGTATGTTCATTCAGTTCTAAATAAAAATGAGTAGTTTTTTTGTCGCTTTAGCTTTTACCGTCTCTAAACTCCACCTAAACAACAACAAATTACATAAACATCGAAGCTAGCGCGCTAAGCTAACTAGCACTTCTTAAGCATGCAGTTAGCATGCTAGCAGCAAGATACGGTTGATGTAGCTCTCCAGCGCGGTGGACATGCTTCGTCCCGGACTCGGTCTCTATCTGTCCAGCAGAAAAATCGGTAAATCCCTCCAACGGTTGTCTATTTGCGCCGCTGTGTAAAAAAATAAAACGGAAAGAGCATCAAACCGCACCGCACCAAAACACCGGAGACAAGTCAAGACTAATCATACGCCGAATCATCGCGCAGGAAGGGGCGCGGAGGGTCGAGCGGTGACGTTTTTTTTATTCAAATTCCTCCAAATGTTATCATCAAACATTGATCTGGAAAGTTGTTTAAACGTGTGAGTAGGTGATGTCAGAGCTACAACCCTAAAGACAAAATATTGGGTACAGAAATGAAACACACTATAGCCCTATCAGTGGCGCATTTAGCAATTTGGGGCCCAAGGCGAGCACAGACATGGGGCCCCCTTAAAATAAATTTCGGCAATCTTACTTTTAATTGGATTTACAAAACTCTCCCCTCTTCTGCCATGAGTTATTTTCCCTTTTTATTAGTCCTCCTCTTTATTCATGTCTTTCTCTCCCTTTGAGTGCCTCCAATATTTGCTCTGCTTTCTTCTTCCTGTCAGTGCTCCTGAGCTTTTGCCTTTTTTAAATTTATTTTTCATTTTGGTCTACGTTTTCCTCCCTTTAAACATTTTCTATTGTCTTTCCTTTTCTGCTTCCTGATGCTCGAGCATCCGACAGAGGTGGAAAGTAATGAATTACATTTACTCACGTTACTGTAATTGAGTAGCTTTTTTGTATATTTATACTTTTTAAGTCATTTTTAAAATCTGTACTTTTACTTGAGTAAGTTTTTTAAAAAGAATTGTAATTCGCTACATTTTAAATCATATCCGTTACTGAGTAAAAATAAATTATAGGCTTAATAAATTAAAAATATTACGTGAAGCAGCGTCAGAACGGAAAGAGACACCTGCATGAGGACCGCATCTAAACCGGGGGTGTGTGGGGGTGTACACTTTTGCTCAAAGACATCATCAGTTCAGTCGATCAACTCGCTGTTTATCACCTCTCTCCCTCCTCTCCTGTGGTTGGAACCTGCACCTTCGCGCACCAGTGTGACATCATCAGAATTCTGCTCGGTTCGGTAGCGAGACTCGGTTCCGTGTTTGAAATGTGTTTCCCTACCGCTCCGCACGGCAGCGGCAAAATACTGTTTAGTGCTCATAACAAGCGGATTATCAGCGCTTTGCTCATAAACAGAAGAGCTGCAGGCCTCTGTGAGTTAAAACATCATGATACTGTTCAGGTGTAAACATTGTGCTCCATCCCTGTGTTTGAACTCAGAAGTTGCTCCTTGATGCCACAGATATGTGATGATTTAGCTTGTTTCTTTATTTTACTCCAGAATTAGAGATTAAATTATTACTAAAGCAATTCAATGTAGTTAAATTAGTCATGGCGTGCGTGTGTGTGTGTGTGTGTGTGTGTTACACATATAGGACTGCATGAGACAGCGTGGTTTCATCAAATCCATGCATCTCATATCTTGGGTGAAGTAACGGCTCAGGAAAATAACATATATTTCATAAATAATGACGTCTCTGCAGTGTTTATGATAATGTTTTATCTTATCTTTGGTCTGGGAGGTGTAACTTATCATGATACAAGCCTTTTAAAACATGTTAAAGTGTTACAAGAGGAGATAAATGCATGAATTTAAAGTTCATGTTTGGAGGCTCACGCTGGTGAGGAGACACCGTTAGTTCTAGTAACACCTGGGCTCCCAAGGCCTGTTCTGACAGGATGGATGTTACGGGACCCTTAAGGATTCCAGTTGGATGATTGGAGGATTATTTAGGAGGATTGAAATGAACAAACTGATTTCAGTGGTGAAGGGTTAAATGAGTGAGTGAACCCACTGCCAAGGATGAACTCTGCTAGCTTTAAAAATCAGCTGCTCTAAATAAGCATGAAGGTCAGAGAGGATCTCTAGGATGGACATGGATAAAGGAACTGTAATGTAGAGGTAAAGTAGGGCAGGGCCAACGTTAGCAGCTGTCATACGGTCCATCTGACATGTTTGACTGCATTAGGCTTGCTATGTGACAGGTTAGAGCACAGTCTCATGTTAGAGTTTTGTCATGAGGACATTGAGATACCTCACATGCTGATGGCATCTAAAAAAATTATTTTTTCTCAAAATAAAGAATAATTTGAATCACAATTGAAACTTACCATCCTAGAAAAACCTCGTCCAATCAATGTGCACGTCCTGTTCTCACTGATTGGATAGAAATCCTTCCTTCAAGCCGTGCGTGTTTGAGTGTGTGTGTGCGCACACACAAGCGAATTGTGAACTGCCGTTGCGATTTAGCACTACTTAGATGTAGCCATCCTTACGCTGACAAAAATGTAACTAAGTAACTTTTACTTTGAGTACATTTTGTTTACGATACCTTTTACTTTTACTTGAGTAAAAATTTAGGCAAGTACTTTTACTTGTAATTGAGTAAAAAATTATCAAAGTATTGGTACTCGTAATTAAGTAGGAAATTTTAGTACTCTTTCCACCTCTGGCATCTGACCCACGTGACCACAGAGCTAGCTCCGTGGAAAGGCCTCAGTAGAGCCTCGGTCTGGGCTGGAAACTGCTCCGGGATTTTGAGTCTCTGTGTGTGTGTATTCTTTTTGGATATTTTTTGTGTAATTGTTGGACAAAATGACTTGCTGTGGCATTAATTGCACTAATAGAGCGTCCAAGGAGTCTCCACTTCATTATTTTCGGTAAGTAAAATTATATTTATGTATTTTAGGTCACTGCCGAGCTGAGCTTAGATTTTAACATGTACTGTTTAACCATGAAATGTAAATGTAATAGGGTAAAACCCAGTGCATTTAACATAATGCTGCACTTTAGAAAATGGGTTGAAATATAACATGTTGGTGGAGCTGGGTTCCCACTATCGGCTTGTGGAGCTCTCGGGAAACCAATGTTTTCCACCCGGTTCTTCCCTCCCCGCAGCCCAGCACATCTCTGTCTGATCACGTTTTCTGTCTGCTGTGCAGCTGCCGGCTTGTGGAGCTCTCGGAGACCTCTGTGTTCCACCCGGTTTTACCCAGCGGTCAGCCCGGCGTATCTCTGACTCAGAAGCTCTGATGTTGTGCACAGTTAACTCCAGTTGTAGCTAGGTTGCTACCTCCGTTAGCTTAGCTCCCACCTCCGCATTAGCTTCAGGTTAGCTTGTAGCTAGTTCGACCAGGTGTTGTCAGCTGATCCCAGCCTTACAGCCCCACCCTCAGCTCCACCTCTCTTCCCTTTTATGGAATTGTCTGGGCTTGACGGAACCTGTGACACGGTCAAAACGGCGGTGGTGGCCACCTCCCATTTTAGTACAAAAACTTATTATTGGAGTCTATGGAAACCCATTGTCCAAATTCAATTCAATTCAAAAATACTTTATTAATCCCAGAGGGAAATTGATTGATATGTATGTCGATGGGACTACCGCTTCAAGTTTGTTATGAACACTCCCGTCCCGCCTCTCTTCATCTGCTTTCTCTTATTTGTGGTCTCATGGCACTCGGCAAATAATAATTTGGTGTATTACTGCCACCAACTGGATTGGAGTGGAATGACTACCAATCGTTTTCCGTTTGTGCATCGGCATCTTAAAGGAATAGTCCATTGTGGAATTAATTGTGGGGGCAGCAGTAGCTCAGGTGGTAGAGCGGGTTGCCTCATGATCGGAGGGTCATGGGATTCGATTCCAGCTCCCGCCAGGGGTAACCTGCTGTTGTGTCCTTGGGCAAGATACTTCACCCAACTTGCCTGTGTTAGTGGTGGTCAGAGGGGCCGACGGCGCCAAATGGCAGCCTCGCCTCTGTCAGACCTCCCCAGGGCGGCTGTGGCTACAAGTAGCTTACCATCACTAGCAGTGTGTGAATGTGTGTGAAAAGCGTCTTTGGGTGTCTAGAAAAGCGCTATATAAGTTCAATGCATTATTATTATTAACAGGGGTGCTGGCGGTCAGGGCTAGGGGGCCCCCAACATAAGGGGGCCCCAGGCAGCCGCTGACCTATGCCTAATCGTAAAACCGCCACTGAGCCCTATTAACCAACGATCTTCACCCAAATCAATACAACTTTTAAATAAATGGGTTCTAAAATACTAACATTTTGAATTGAGTAATTACGCAAAAGGAAGGTCTGGGACAATCAAAGATTATTCCTATCATTCCATTTCTTGTCCAAGTATCGAAAACTGCTGCTGGAGAAAGTTGCATTAGTATGGAAAACCACTCAGTGGATGATTAGGAATAACCTGTTATGTTGTTGGGGAAATTTAAATGTTTCCATGGCAGATTGTAAAAACAGCTTTGATTTCAAGTAAGAAGTCTGAGTCCAGTCTTCTCAATAAATTTTCATCTTTATTGTTGCTCAGGACAAACATCAGGAACGTCATGCTACCAAAGTATTAAATTTGTACAAAAATACTTTACAACATCCTGTTCCTTTAAAGAAAAAATACCGTTTGGTTGGTGAAGCTACATGGAAACTAATCTGACCCACTATTTCAAATGGCAGTGCAGTGCACATGTAAATGTGTGTGCACACACGCGGCCAAGGAGAGTCAAGCCCTGCGATGTTACACACACATTAACACACACTTACAAGTGCACACTCTAACACACACACAAGCACAGTGTGTATGGCTTTAGATCTCACTCATCAAACCCTCATGAAGCCACGCCCCACAGCTCTGTGTGTTCCTACTGGTCGAGCAGTTTGTGTTGACTGAGTGCTGAAATGCCACCAGTGCCAATCAAATCGTTAGCTGATGCTTTCTTTCTCCAGGCTCTCTTACTGATGGGTTGGTTATTTAACGTTGTCCTGGTTAGTCCTGGTTTAAGAACGATCAGGTTAAACCATGTGATCGGGACCTGGTCTACAGCGCAGGTTCAAAATATCCCCGATTCCTAAACTTCAACCATCAAGACTTCTCTATGCAAGTGGTTTTTCCAGCACTGGTTGTCAACTTGGCACAAGCTATTTAGTGTTTCTGACATGTTTATGTAAAACTGGTTGAATCAACATCAGATAACAAACTCGGGCTTATGCTAACTGCAGTTTGATTAGTTACAGTGTGCGTATGGATTTACAGACCATCTGGATCTTGGCGAGTCTGAAGAGCCAAAACTAAAAACTCTCTTCAAAAGGTCGCCAACTTCAGTGAGATGAAAAGATTAGTGTTCATGTCAGATCTTTACATTTAAAAATGTAAGTGTTCCAACTTGGGGGTTTATTTTGTAGCTTTTGGCTGTGAGACCGGGCACGTTCACAAACACACGGTGTTTTAGCAGCTCACTGGGTGTGTGTGTGTGTGTATGTGAGTGAGTTCATTATTGCTTCTAAGAGTCAAGGACACAATGTTCTGATTTAGATAGGATGTTTTTTTTAAGGTGTGCCCTTAGAGTAGAAACAACTCCGTCGTGGTGTTTTGGACCATGGTTGATGTTAGCTGGTAGCTAGCAAACAAAAAATCATCGACTTTAACGAAGAAGTCATTCAGCGATCTGAATAAGGAACGTTCCTTGACTTAAACCTCTCACACTACTTCCTGTGCTAGCCTCATGCTAATTTACAGCCATGTTAATCAAGTGTTAACACCTCACAAAATGTAAAAGCTACATTAACAGATATTAGCCCTGTTGTAACCTTGTGCGAGGTCTTTTCTAACCAGAAACTGGCTGTACTGGGTTAGCCATGTTAGCCGTGTGCTAACCACACATAAACATCATTCTGATTAGCCTTGTGCTACATGTTTAGCATTGTGTTATGGCTATTGCTAACCATAAGTTACCAATGTGCTTAAACCCCAAAACAACACCATTAGAAAAGTAGTTGCTTTTTTGTCTCAGGGAGGGTTCTTATGGTGCTGCTGAGGAAGGGCTCTGATTGGCCAGTTTAAATAGTGAGTTCAGGCTGAGAAGAGCAAGATGTTGACATCCAAATGAAACGATCATTCTCTCTCTCACACACACACACACACACACACACACACACACACACTCACAGGATGTGTTTACCGTCACAACTTCCTGTTTCCACAGGTTTCTTTTCTGGTGTCACATCGTTCTTGTGATCCTGAGGTGAAGGTCTCTGGGTTTGATGGTTCTTCTGATGTAAACAGCGACATAAACAATGTTTTTTTATTTTTTTATCTATTGTACATTTTTTCAGGTTTGGTCGCCACGGAAACAAACAAACAGAACTGACAACAGTCAATCAAAATCACACCTATCGAGTAGAATAATAGATCACTGTTACTGGGGCAAGGAGGGGGAGGGGACATGCTTGGCCTCTTTTCTAGGAGCTGATTGGATCTCCTCAACACATAAAATAACCAATCACAGACAGGCGGGGAACTGGCTGTTTCCTGATTGGTTCCAGCCAATCAGCTAAACTGCCGCTATTTGCCTTTCTGGCTGCTATTTGGTCAAGAGTGGGAAAGATGGCGGTAAAAAGCCAAGAGGGTTAGAAATAACTGGCCTTGTGTGTAACTAACACACACTCACACACACGCACGCACACACACATACACAGTGTGGCCAGTCTAACTGCTGTAAACTGTGGAAAAAATTATTATAGAACTGCTCAGTGTCACCACCATCGTATCGTCATCATCACCACCATCACCATCACCACCACCACCACCATCATCTTCATAACCACAACCATCGTCAACATCATCACCATCATCATTACCACCATTATCATCATCACCATCATCGTCATCACCACCACCACCATCATCATCATCATCATCACTACCACCACCACCAACATCCCCACCATCCCCACTACCATCATCACCATCATAATCATCTTCATTACCATAAAATCATCATCCTCATCACCACCATCACCATCCTAACCACCACCATCTTCATCATCTCCACCATCATCATCATCACTGCCACCATCCTCACTACCATCGACATCACCATCATCACCACCACCACCACCTTCATCATCGTCATCACCACCACCACCACCATCATCACCATCATCATCACCACCACCATCATCATCACTACCATCATCATCATCACCACCACCATCATCATCACTACCATCATCATCATCATCACCACCACCACCACCTTCACTACCATCATCATCATCGTCATCACCACCACCACCACCTTCATCATCATCATCGTCATCACCACTACCATCATCATCATCACTACCATCATCATCATCATCATCACCACCACCATCACCATCATCATCACCATCATCACCATCATCATCACCACCACCACCACCACCATCATCATCATCACTACCACCACCACCATCATCACTACCATCATCATCATCCTCATCATCATTCCCACCTTCATCGTCGTCACCACCAGTCAGCAGCTCATTTTTGGCACAGAACTAAAATCCTAAGAGTAACTCGTCCCTCTCCGTGTGTTTTAGGGATGCTCCGATCAGAATCAGCTGATTAAAGTCAAACTTCACCAGCAGAGTTTTACAAGCTTTGGTTAAAACATCTGTTAAACTGTAAATGTTTACTTAGAACGACTCGAAACCAACTAAATGTTTTATAATAAAGCTTTAGAAGTTCTTTGGGGAACTGAGGGGCTTCAGTTAAAACTTCATTTACTGAAATGTCTCAAGAACATGTCAGTAAATATGATTTTATACCATTTCATAAAGTAGTTTCATCCTGCTGCATTTCTCTCCATTCACCATCAAGGGAACATCTTTTGTACGTTCCTGTTGTGTTTGTCTTCTAATTCCATGTTTGGTTCTTTATTAAACACAGACGAGGATCCTCTTTACCTTGCTGACGGTTTCGTTTATGGAAAGGGAACAGCTGATCTAACTAACACGGTACAGCCTGACCGACGATGGAGTTCATGATAACGCGTCCAAGCGAGTCACAGACGTCGAGCCTCTCCTTAAAGGAAACCCGACTGTGACTTGCTCACATCGTTGGTCTGAACCCTGGACCCCCTCTGGGTCTGATTTGGGGGCGGAGCTTAGATCAAGGTGCTCTGAGGTTTAATATTACCTCTGCAATAGAATCATTTCAAATAAACATCTTAATATTTACATTAAAGTTATTTATTCACCTAAAACCGATTTTTAATTTTTAATTTTGAGAAACAACATCCAGTTTTGGACCCGCGGTTCCGGTCGGACTGTAATTAAACTCATGGGAGCAGCTTCGGTTCTGGTGATCTGATCAACATCAGCTCACACACTCAGGTTGGAGCATCCCTAATCTCCTCGGCAACCCTTCTGTCCTTTTCAGGTTCTGGAGTTTTGGACTCGAGTCCCATCGGTTCTTGTGCTGTGGAAGTTTGTGTTCTGGAACTCGGAACCTGGGTTCTTGGTAGCACTGGCCTCATCTCTGCTCTAGGAGCCACGGTTCCCTGACTGGAACAGTGGGACCATTTTGTATGGTTCAGGGTTTAGTAGAACCAGAACCGGTGATTGCACCACCTACCTGCGTGTCTTGGACCAGTCAGGCCCTTAGCTGTGGTTCTGTAACCCTGAGACCATGAACTAGAACCACACCTGAGACTAGTGGTTGTGACTCTGGTTTTGGTGGAACAGGGTCCAGCTACCACCAAGACCAGAACCCACGAGTCTTTGACCAGTGAGACCACTGGGCTCTAGGTGGTTCTAAGCTTCTAGAACCAGTAACCACGTCCCAGAACCATAAAAGCATTACTTGTGGGACCAGTAGCCATGGTGCTGGACTGGTTGTGCCAGCGAGTCCAGCTGTGGTCCCAGTAGGACCAGTACCTTTGATCCTGGCTCTAGAGACACCATCATGTAGAACTGGTTCAGGTGGAGGTGTGAGAAGTTCTGGTCCAATGTGCTTTCAGGCTGCTTTAGCAGTTCAAAGAGCCAACTGAAGAGGTCAAAGGTCAGATTCCATCCAGAGGGTGTGTGTAGCACCATGGGAGGCTTTGACCTAGTTCACCAAGTCCTAAACCAGTGTTATGTCCATTCCAGTCTGGTCAGAACCAGTTTGATCCTGTTCTTATCTGCTATAATGAATTATTAGTAACCTGCCCCATCCCAAGCCCCGCCCCCAAGCTGTCTCCTGGTTGGCTCCACTTGATTGGACCACCATCTTCCACCGGGTCCAGAGAGATCTCCGACAAGCCAACCTCACTGTTGATTGGCTGAGGGGAGTGGCTGTTGTTGGTGGCGCCATCGTTGTGATTGGTCAGCGGGAAGGAGGAGGAGGACGATGGGTTTCGGCTGATGACCAGCTCCAAGCGGTTCGGAGATTCAGCAATGAGAGGAACGACAAGGCAGCAGTCAAAGTCCCTGGTTCTCACGTGGTTGATCTGGAAGCACCAACAGGTTCAGCGGTAAAAACTACGTTCTGATGAGGTCAAGCTTCTGTCTGAGTCACGCTGGCGTTAACCAGACGGACTGTGACTGATGTTCTACTTTACCCTACAGTGGTTCAGCCATGGTTCACATCAGTGGTGCTGCTTCAGCCTCAAATCAAAACAACACCAGCCAACACTGATTAAAGCCCCGGGTCTGGGTTCCTGTACCTGCAGAAGTCGGTCGTAGGCACGGAGGCCCCCCCGCTCCGCTGGGCCGCCGGCGCGGATGTCGTTAACGTAAACGCCACGATCCAGCAAGCCGTCAGAAACACTGAAACCAAAATCCTCCAGGTCCGAGGCCTTTTCCAAAGCCAGCTGCGCACACACACACACACACACACGCACGCACGCACGCACACACACACACACACGCACGCACACACGCACACACACACGCACACACACACACACACATACACGCGAACGCACACACATACACACGCACACGCACACACACACGCACATACACACGCGAACGCACACACATACACGCACGCACACACACACACACGCACGCACGCACGCACGCACACACACACACACACACACACACGCACGCACGCACGCACGCACGCACACACACGCGAACGCACACACATACACGCGAACGCACGCACGCACGCACACACACACACACATACACGCACGCACGCACGCACACACACACACACATACACGCGAACGCACACACATACACACGCACACACACACGCACATACACACGCGAACGCACACACATACACGCACGCACACACACACACACACACACAGTTATTGGTGTCGAACACACATGCTTCACAGAACTCTGCCATACCAAGGGGCCATTGTCACCTTATGGAGTTCCACAGGGTTCTGGTTTAGGATGTCGTTGACTTCCTGCCTCATCTTTTTCATGGCGAAGGCTCTACGTTGAGGGTCAGAGGGCAAGGTGTTGGAGCGAGGGTTTACCTGAGAATCGGGAAGCAGAATGGTAGGTTGCTGTTGCACCTGGAAAACAGAGCTAGAACCTGCTGTAGCGGTGGAACACACACACACACACACACACACACACACACACACACACACACACACACTAACAGTGTGTACCTGCGGTTTGGAGTTGCTGCGCTCCTGGAAGCTCGCCTGACGACCAAGTGTGCTACGCAGAGGGGTGGGGTCGTGGTTCAGACTAAGGGTGGAGCCTGACATGATGGTTGCCTGGAGACAGCCAGTAGGAAGACATAAGTGAAACAGCCAATGGAAGGCCAGATAACAGAGACATCCTGGAGGTTAGAGCGTTGATTTGAGGAATCTGCTGATGCAGTATTTCTGAGCGTTTCTGACAAAGATCCTGCTGACAGGATCCAATCGTGTTCCTATAAAACTCGTCTCTTGTTCAGCTGTTAGACTTGTTTATATTTTTGTAATATTTCTAGTTTAACCTTTTAAACAACTAACAGTTGTTTATGTTTCTGATGTTGTGCCAAGCTGAGGTCTCAGGAAGTTAACATCGTCTCACAGATGGGTTCCAGACAGCCGAGTCTCCGACTGTTCCAGGTCAAAACCAAGTCATCTGCTCAGGAGTCGTGGAGTTTAGAAGCACACGTGCCTTGCTGCTGGATAAAGGCAGCTTGCAAAGCGTGATGCACTAAAGCGTTGGCACCGTCTCCGACCTGCGTTCCTACATACGCAGATCGTAATGCTTTCTTAGCGGTCTGAACACACCGAGCTTAAACGCCCCCTTAAAAAGCTCCAGGGCCAGTTTGAGCTTCATGTGCTGCAAATGGGCACAAAGACCAGTTTCCAGTTGTAATACAAACATTTGTTCTAGGATCTCGTTTCTCCAGCAACACACCCACCTGAGGCTCAAGAGGAAACGAAGAACCCTCGAGAACGCTTCGAGACTTCTGCACTGTTCGCTGCAGGGTCTCTGAAAAAGACCCTCCGTTCTAGTGGAGACGCTCATGGAAACGTTTTCTAGAGCCTAAATAACCTCGGGCCGACGGACTAGATCAATGAAAACGAACTCTTTCTGAATCCAGTAGAAGTGCCTCTAAAGGACGCTTCCCCTCTAGAACAGAAACTTCTGGATCTTTCTTTAAGGATGAAAGCGGCTTCCACGCTGTAGTTCTTGTTTAAAACACGGAGCGGTTTCGTTTACCGGTTTTCCCGCTACGTTTCGTTTGCGGCTGCAACGTAGCGGGAAAACCGGTAAACGAAACCGCTCCGTGTTTTAAAAAAGAACTACAGCGTGGAATTAGAGACAGGACACAGCAAGAACACACCTAAGATGAAATCGGCTTGTTTTTTCTTGGTCTGAGACGGGGACGGAGACGGAGACGGCGTCCACTAACAGGACAAACATCCGACAACGCGGCGGTCGCATTAGTAGAGTTGTCAGTTCAAACCCAACACAAGGACATCGGAACAGAAACATGCAGCGTTTGTGGTGGGACGTGTGCCAGCATGCACTGCTCACGCTGCCATGCCTGATGCAACAGAGACCACCAGAGTGTGAACGGTGTTGCTGTTAGCCGACATGTTTAATAACACGGAGGAGGAGGGTACCGGAGCCAGGAGGAGCCTCTCCTTCTCAGATTCCTGAAAGAAAAGTCGGAACGTCTCTCTTTTACTTTGAAGTCTTCAGCAAACAAGCAAACTGGTTCCAGTAAAGTCTGGATCCCAGTTTGGAGTTCACACCTGATCCATGTTTACAAATAAAAACACGCAATAATAAGCATCTAAACAACAACACTGGCTCATCCCTTGAGTTAGGAGCCTTTTTCCGCTTGAATGGTTCACAGTCCTCTGAAAATGTTCTGGTACCAGGACTGGACCCGAGTCTAAAGTCCAAATAAAAGCTCCTTGAGAAGGTCTGAGTATTGCTGATCCAGGACCACAGAAGCAGGTTACCGTGTCACAGGTGGACTGGATCAGGACCTGAAACAACACGAGTCACTCACCTCCAGCTCCCGCAGGATTCCGCTCTGACCACAGGTTTCTAAATCTTCCAGGGCCTGGGACCAGAAGTTCTCCTCCTGGTCCGGTTCTGTGCCGTCATGGCCCACAGTGAACCTGGGAGGAAAGGTCAGAGGTCAACAGTAGCAGAACCACCTGCCTCACAGAAAGATACACACAGGGACAGCTCATGCTGGAGGGGACGTGTTCAGAGACGACCCACGCATCCACGGGGATGTGTCAGAGTGGTAAAGGTCAAAGGTCACCAGGTGGGGTAGACACAAGTCTGTGTGGGGTCAAAGGTCAGTGTGGTACCTGCTGTCAGTGATAAGACCGCTGGGCAGATTAGAGCCGCTGCAGACAGAGACACTGCTGTTAGCTCACTGGTTCTGGTTCCTGCAGACCCACTCAGAACCACCACAGCCTCCTCAGTGCAGCTCGACTCGTCTCGCCGTGGCTAAAGTCACTCGTCATGTTTGCCACTCCCTTTTCAGTACTTGCTTTCATGTGGTTCCAAGCGTACCAAGCCAAGCCGAAAATGTGACGTCAGACACCCACAGTCAATGATTGGCTAGGAGGCGGAGTCTCTGGTTGTTCCGAAGTTTCCCAGCCCACTGCCCACTTTCCGGGATCAGAGAGAGGATGTTGAACATCCCTACCATGATTTTGTGTGGCGTACAGACCACCTGGTGCTTTGCGTTGGGTCTCCACCCTGCCACTAATGGAAAAACGGCGTGGAGTCGAGCTGCGCTGGTTGGTGGTACCGCCTCATAGCCACAGACCCACTAACGGACCCGGGGCCTCAGACACACAGCTCGTCACAAACAAAACAGGGTCTAAAACTGCAAAAATCATTTTCTACGCACACGCTGTAATTTATAAAGAAAAGCTGGACGGGGCAATGTGGCAACAATGAAGCACAGAGAGTTTTACCTCAGAGGGCGCCACCTAGAGGCGCCTTAAGCTACTTCCTACTCCGTTATTACGAAGGGAAGCAACGCCGCTTGCTAGTGAACGTGCACCTCTAGCCAGCCCCAAGACCTAAAACCAGTTGTTTTACAATTAGTTGTCTCATGATCTGTTGTTTATTTAAATCTACAGACATTTACATACATACATATATTTACATACATACATACATACATATATTTACATACATACATATATATATATATATATATATATATATATATATATATATATATATATATATATATATTTATTTTCCGGAACTGCGCTGCTCTGGGTGGCTGCGTGTTGGAGTAGCTCTGTTGACTATATGTAAGTTTTGCTTTTTCTTGGACATTTTTTCTTCTAGTTTCTCAAGAAAAACTGTATTTTTTGGACACTTTACTTTTCTGTTTCTGGTGCTGTGAAGCTTGGAGGATTTTTACTGCTGTTTTTTAGCTTTTTTCACTTTTTGAGCATTTGTTATGATGCGTAACCATGGCAACAAGCTGGTTTACAATCGGGAGCAGCTGATTAACATTGGAAAGGCTGAAATAATACCTCAACTGAAGCCACAAATCCCAAATGAGCTAAAACGCAAGAAGCGTGGGTGCAGAGCGGGAGCAAAACGGAGACAGAGAAAGAGGAAATTCAAACCATCTCTTCCATCGATCATAACGGGCAATGTGAGATCACTGGCCAACAAGATGGAGGAACTCCAAGACCTTTCAAGGACTCAGCCAGAGTTTTGGCAGTTTCGGAACCACTGGAGGAGATAATGCAAAGAAGGATTCTCCAGAGAATCAAGAAAATGATGGACAACCCTGAGCATTCTCTTCACAAGACTGTCCGACAACGGAAGAGTGTCTTCAGTCAGAGGCTTCTTCAGAAATAAGTGACGCACATACACACTGCACTCAGCTCACACCGTACGTCTGCTAGCAACACGTCGGACCTAAAAATGTGCTAAAAATAGCAGTTTTTACAACACGTTAGACCTTTTATTGTGTTGTTATTGACGTCTGTTGTCCCTTGGGATCGCTGCAGGAGGACGCAGGTATTTATGAGGAAAATGAAAGGAAGTAAATAAAAGTTTTGTGATCAGTATAATTTGACAAAACCACGGCAAACATGCTTTCTCGACAATCCTTGTTATCGTGTGAGAAAATAAAGTGTAGAAATTAAAACGGACGTGTGTTGATAGGGAAACAGCTGGCGAGCCATGTTTGTGCATGCACCGTGAGCGGTTCTGGTGCTGTTTGGGCCGCAGCCGCTCGCAACGCTACTTCAACAGTTATCCTAGTTTTTGTCTGGCTAGCAGGCTAGCAGATTCTCACACGAGGGGGAAATCAGCTCAGGTTGTTTACTTGTTTTTTGCACAGGCTTTTGTTTACTGTGGAGTAAAGTTGAAGTGCTGAAGTTTTAAAAACTAATTTTGAATAAAACTTGAAGAATAACTGGCAATAGCGTACTCATTTTAAGAGGTCTTTCATATTTTATGACATGCTATTTGATATAATGGTTTACAAACACAAAAGGGTCATTTATTAGAGTACTCGATTACAAAAATATTCGATAGCTGCAGCCCTAGTCTAGTTATAGAAATGTACGTTTATCACTCATATTTCAGATTCAAATGAGTTTTATCTTGACTGTTTATCTGTAATCTGACCTGTTTAATGGGTTGTTGTTTATTTTGTTTTTTCCAGCAGGTGTATTTTGTATAAATGATGACACCAGTTTACCATGAGGGATGTTAAAGTCTCCCAGTAACGCACAGGAAACACTCCAGATAAATCTGAAAGTCTGAACATGTCAGATGTTGGGCTGGGTTGTGTGTGGCTAGTTTTATTACCCGCTAGAGCTGCTCTCTGGAAGACTAAAGTCAGCAAACACAGAGACCGCAGAGAAAAGGTCCTACTCACTTCTGGCCTTAATAATAAAGCATTTTAAACGATGCATCTGAGCTGTAACTATGGTAACGCAAGATTCCATAGCTTTACCATAGTGACAGTCTATCATAGGTGACAGACAGCGCTCCATAGGGAGCCTAAGCCACGCCCATCTACTTCCGGACCACGAGTCCCAGAAAAACAAAACAATGAATGTAAGTCAGCGGCGCTAAAGACGCTATTTTCTAATTCTGCTTGTTATGTGCCATGGATTTCACATATGATGTCTGTGAAGATGCATTTTAATACCAAGAACGCGCTTATTTTCGAAATGGGGGGGGGGGGGGGGGGGGTGAAGACGTTATTTTAAGTTTTGTGTAATAAGTCCAGGACTACAAATGTGCTTTATGAAAGTGACGTCATCGAAGCAGACACGGAGAAAAACCGGGAAAATGGCCGAGATTCTGTGGTGACGTCATATATGCAGCGTGCCGATGTGGGATTTGTAGTCATGCTAACATCGAACTTTAACAAGCTGATACATTTCAAAGTACGTGACTGGCGTGATTGAAGCACCCATCGTTGGATTACATTTAAACTGAAGTACAGCATATGTGTGATCCAGGACGTAAGGCTAAGCGGATTAGAAAACAGCGTTTTTAGCCCCGTTGACTCGCGTTCATGTTGTCGTTCTTCCGGGACCCGTGAGCCCCGGGAAGAGAGGAGACCTAGCTCCCTATTGTAGTGAAGTAGGAAGTACAGACAGTGGCTTTAAAAATGAGTGAAGTAAAAGTAAATAAGTAAAGTACAAATAAAGAAAGCTTTACATATTATATTATATTCAATTACTTCATTACTTTTTAAAAGATTTATTTTTTGTTTGCAGTTTAAATTCTGTCATCCTGTCCCTCTAAACGTGATTTAACATAAACATCATCAGGTGTACCTCTTATGCATAATAATGATGGGATCACAGACCAGATGTTTGATGACGTAGAAATATATTAATAAAAAGATACCAGAACTTAAAGAAGATGATGCAATCCTCTTCAGACGAATAAACCGATTGACATCAAAGACATTTCTCTTTGGTCTTGATGCTCATATAGCAGTAAAGGTTATAATATAAACAGAGATTTCAGTTTTCCTGGTAGTGTTTAACCAGAGAGCAATGTGACAAAAACTATAAGTTACTTAGAAGTTAAATAAAGATAATCTGCAGTTGAGCCTCTGGACTTTTCTGTTTGCTAACTCAAACCAAATGAATCTTCTGTTAGCTGATGGATCCATTTTTAAATGTAAACAAGTCAAAATAGTTTGTTCACTTAATGTTATTAAAGTTATAACTTATTCACTGATGAAAAAGTGGCATTTATTTATATTTCTGTCAAATGGTTTTTGTTTTTCTGGGACCCGTGGTCCGGAAGTAGATGGGCGTGGCTTAGGCTCCCTATGGAGCGCTGTCTGTCACCTATGATAGACTGTCACTATGGTAAAGCTATGGAATCTTGCGTTACCATAGTTACAGCTCAGATGCATCATTTAAAATGCTTTATTATTAAGGCCAGAAGTGAGTAGGACCTTTTCTCTGCGGTCTCTGTGTTTGCTGACTTTAGTCTTCCAGAGAGCAGCTCTAGCGGGTAATAAAACTAGCCACACACAACCCAGCCCAACATCTGACATGTTCAGACTTTCAGATTTATCTGGAGTGTTTCCTGTGCGTTACTGGGAGACTTTAACATCCCTCATGGTAAACTGGTGTCATCATTTATATAAAATACACCTGCTGGAATAAACAAAATAAACAACAACCCCTTAAGCAGGTCAGATTACAGATAAACAGTCAAGATAAAACTCATTTGAATCTGATATATGAGCGATAAATGTACATTTCTATAACTAGACCTTCATGCTGTCTGCCGTGTACAGTAGTGGTGTCTGGAGAAGGGACTGATCTGTATTTCTGCACCAGTTTGACAGAAATATAAATAAATGCCACTTTTTCATCGGTGAATAAGTTATAACTTTAATAACATTAAGTGAACAAACTATTTTGACTTGTTTACATTTAAAAATGGATCCATCAGCTAACAGAAGAGTCATTTGGCTTGATTTAGCAAACAGAAAAGTCAAGAGGCTCAACTGCAGGCTATCTTTATGTACGTATTTAACTTCTAAGTAACTTATAGTTTTTGTCACATTGCTCTTTGATTAAACACTACCAGGAAAACTGAAATCTCTGTTTATATTTATAACCTTTACTGCTATATGAGCATCAAGACCAAAGAGACATTTCTTTGATGTCAAACGGTTTGTTATTCGTCTGAAGAGGATTGGATGCTATGTGATATAATGGCTTACAAACACAAAAGAGTAATTTATTAGAGTACTCAATTACAAAAATATTCGATAGCTGCAGCCCTAATATATATACATATATACATACAGTCAGAGGTGATGTTACCAAACACAGGCACCACAGGTCCCTCTGACCACCACCAGCAGGCAGGCAGGACTGAGTGCCTTGCCCTTGGACACAACAGCAGACTTCTGTGTCAGGATCTGAGATCGAACCTGCAACCTTCTGATTACTGGACAACCTGCTCTACCTCCTGAGCTCCTGCTGCCCCAGACATAATACGGTACCAGCTAACATCACATGGTACCTCTTAGCCAATAGCAATGTCTGATTCAAATTCAACGTAGAGCAGAGTTTTAACCTGAAGAGGGCGCAATAACGATGGTTTTAGGCTGAGTTTTTACTTTTTAAAAAAGCAGCACTAAAATGCCTAAGTCATGACTGCACACATCTACAGTGATACTAGACACTCGTTCATACAGTTTATCAGCAACATCAGTCGATTGGGGGTGACTTGCTCTTTAAGGTGAGTTTAAGTACAGACTCTATGTAGAGTTTTACAAATCAGGCCCCCGCTCTACCCAGTGGACCCAATACCAGTTCTGTACTGGTTCTGGTCTTTGTCTCACCCTCCAATTGGTGGGCGGTCCCAGTCATCATCACTCAGACCCAGATCTGACAGCGGATTGGTTCTCTGCCGACTGGAGTTTGGTTGGCTGTTGGTTGTCTTCGGGTTGCGCCAGTCATGAAAACTGTATGGAGACGACTGGAAAGGCGGAGCTTCACAGAGGACCAGAGAGGGTTCAGAGGTGAACTTTAGCAGCAGACTCACACTTAAACACAAAGGTCAAAGGTGTACCTGAGGTGGTGAAGCTGCTGTCCATGTTGGACCCGTCCCAGGACTCCACGGCGCTGTCCACAGATGGCAGCGTGCTGAACACTCTCTGGTTGGTTGGAGGTGCTACTATGATGACAGGCTCTTCGTCCCCATCCTGGTTCTCCTGGTTAAGCCCCACCCCTGACCCCAGGCCTGAACCAATCACACAGGACTTTGGGCTGGACACTGAAGACAAATGGTGTGCTTTCATCAGTGTTATGAATCAAAAGGGTCAATTTTCACCATCGAATTGACACAGCATAACCTTTCATACACACCAGAGCTGCAAAGTCAAGGTTGCACCAGCTGGAGTATCCAGACCTTTGCTCACCTATTGTTCTTCAACGCAGACATAAATAAACTGCCAAGGTCTCTTGCAAAAGCCTCATCTCTCTGCTTAAAGTCAGACTGCTGGATTCCTCACCCTGAATAAAACAGTGAATCTACACGAATCCTACAAGGCTTTACAACTTATACGTTAAATAATCATGTGATGAATGAACACGATGTTTAAATGAAATGTTTGAATAATCTGTGCTTAAATCCATGAATATTGCTCTTACAACGATCCATTTATATCACAAATCAGTGTGTTTGATTTAACAAGTTAATCGTTGTCTACACTCATACACATTACAATAAGATACTCATTAAGGTTAAGATTCACCTCACATAAGTGTTTTAAACCATTCTCATTCACAGTGATAAAAACATCTCTGTATCTGAGGAGGGCGTGGCTTTCTGAGGAATGTTGCTAAATACCCAGAAACTTGTCAAATGTTGATTTGCCAGAATGGCCAGAAATCACAACTAAGTAGTTTAAAAAAACAAGAATTACTTCCTGAGTTATTCAGTTTCTAGCAGAGTTCAGAACCGGCCAATTCGGAACAAGCATCCTTGAGACATCTCTTTTACAGTCAAGCCCTGTTTAAACGCTGCTAGCTGACACAGCCAGACGGCTCCCTAAGAGCCACACCCACTTTGGACGCAGACAAGTATTCCAGCTACTGTTGTGACCTGGAGACATCTCAAGACTGGACGGGTCGTATCGGAGTTTAATCTACAAACTCCCGGTGCCGTGAGGTCCTCCCGACTTCTGACAGTCCGGATCTGCTGGGGGTCTCCGCCAGGGTTTGTAGACACAGCAGATTGCGTCTGATGTGGTTTTATTAATAATCAACTCTCTAGTTTAAAGCAGATAACAAATTCTTTTACACTCAGATTTCACAATTTGTTTCAGATACAAAGGTTCTGATAAACATCTAGCTTACATCACACCACCTACACATCACACTCCATCACCGCGTATCCACTCCATCACATCTTATTACTCATATCTTGTCATGTACAATCATTAGTTTAGAAAATAATAAAATTCCTTTTTAACTATTTACCTGACTCTGTCTGAATTAATACGAAGTGTGTTTATGGTCCCTGAACAAGTAAAAGTAACTATAATCTTCTGATGAAACATTCAAAGATCAATCAGGTTGATATTTCATATTTATATGGAATCATCACATCTTATTGGTCATAATTCATTTGCAGTCGTCGCGCTATAAAGTGTGACGCTACATCAAACAGCTGAGTTTCAGGTGTGATTGGTGTGTGTGTGTGTGATTGGTGTGTGTGTGTGTGTGCGTGAGTGTGTGTGTGTGTGTGTGTGTGCGTGCGTGCGTACTTACATTCACCCTGCTTTTTGATCTTCAGTGTAACCGTTTCCCCGGCCTGCTGCAGCAGACTGATGGCTTCACTCAGAGGTTTCCCTTTCAGGCTGCTGCTGTTGATGGCCAGAATACGATCTCCCACGTGAATGGCCCCCGTCCTGCAGAAACACACTCGTCAGGTTCTTGAGATCGCACAGCAACAGTCCCATTTCTGTCCTGAAGAAGTTTCTAAGCTGCAAAAACAAACTAGATACAGAAAGAGACGTTTCTCCACAGGGTGGCGCTGTAGAGTCACCATCAGCAGATAAACAGCTTTTCTTCAGATTGAAGTCGTCTATCCCGCTTCCACCGTGGGGACCTTTCATGGGGGGTCATACTTGTTTTGACACGGATTCACTTTTAAGTAAAAGATGAAGGATTTTTTTAACACGGACATTTGAAACCACAGCTCGGGTAACGACCAGACCTGAGGGGCTATTCTCATATTATTCAACTAACCCAAGCAAAAAGATGAACCAGATGCATTATTTTAAACAAAATCAGATTTATTATACATAACTTATTCTGGCAGTGATCTCTTGTCCGCTGAAAGTTTGTTTGCTGGAAGCTGAGGCGCTGGTGGAAGCCATTTAAGCCTTTCAACTCTGGAATATGGTGGTGTGATGTTTTATTAGGTGTTGATAAAGGTTTGTAGTGTGGCCTCGTGAGGTGGCAACAGCAGCAAGGCAGGTTCTGCACAGCATCTTCTTTCTTATAGCCAAAATGACTCCACACAACTGATGTGCAAGTTCTCTTTGGTACCAAACTTTGTGCAGCTTTGGATTCTGTTGCGCCTGAGGCCATTTATAGCAGGTTAAAGCGCAGTGTTCTCTTCTCTTCCTGCCCTGTTTCAGGTGTTTGCAAGTCATGTGACTTTCCCAGCTGTCGCAACCAGTCAAATCGCAGCCTTTGGGATTAGAAAATCTCCTTTTGTAACAGTAAGATTGCATAGGAACTGAGGAGCTGATCCAGATAAACTTTAGGTCTAAAAATAAATTAGAACTTGAGGATTTAGATCAAAGGGCTTTCTAAAAGTTCTGATGATGTATTTGTTACTTAAAGAGCAAACTGCAGGTTAGAGCCTCCTTTGAACAAATATTTAGAGAAACATCACAGGAACTCATTCTAAATTCAGTTGGTCCAGAACTCTGCAGCGAGGCTCCTAACTGGAGCAAACAGAAGAGCTCACATCACTCCTGTTCTGATGTTTCTGCACTGGTTACCCGTTAACTCTAGAGTTCATTTAGAGTCCTGACTAGAACCTTCAGGGCTCTACATGGTCAAGCTCCTCCCTATATTACTGAACTGTTAAAGCCTTATGCTCCAACCCAGCCCTCAGGTCCAGCCACCAGAACCTTCTAGAAGTTCCAAAGACCAGATATAAAAGTTGAGGTGATCGCTCCTTCCAGACTGTTACACCCCGACTCTGGAATGATCTTCCTTTATCCTTACGCTGCATTGGCAAACAGCTGAAGACCCTGCTGCTTTTTCCTAAACCTTTTATTTTCTTATTTTTAACTCAAATTTTTGATCTTTCACCTGTTTATGAAATTTTATAATTTAATGACTTTATTTTTCTGATGTTAAAGAGCAAATTGCAGGTCATTTTTTTTCTAATTCATATAAAATGTTGTCCAAAAATACTATTAGAAAAGCTTATTGTGGATATTTGGTTGTAAAACACATAACAACAGAGTTTTCGTTTCTAAACCTGAACCTCTGACATAACCAAAGGGAGTCAGAAGCTCGGCTGCCTCAGCTCAGTGTGGAGAGTGGCTAGTTTTAGGGTAGAGGTCATGTGATCCAGTCGGTGTGTGTTTACTAGTGTTGGGTTGTGTTCATGTTGGTAAACTAGTGTGTGTGAATGCTGCACCAACTCCAGCCTGTCTGGGCATCGAGTCCACGGGTTTCCAGATCAGAGGAACAACGCCTCTATCTCCGTGCCTGAGGGCGTTTCTGCAGCTGAAAGACTGACTTCTGTAGGCCACATGGGTCGGTACCGGGTCAGGGAGGTCCGCGCTGGGCTCCGGAGACCCGTGGCAGGGTTTAAAATTTAAATGCAGTTTTCTGGAACTCAGATCAACATCAGAACCAGGTCCGAACCAACCTCCAGAAGAGACTCAGCGGGCCAGCTGGTTTCTGGGTTGGAACCAGATCAGAACTGCCGCGGACCTCCAGGAGAGGATCATGTGCAGCTTTTAAAAATCCCAGCTGGACTGGCTCGCTGGTGTCTGGGTCGGATCCAGCTCCCAGAAGTCTGCATGAGCTCCAGAACCGGATGACAGGCGTCTCTCTCTCTATGCTAAACTACGCTAGGTGAACTGATATTAACGAGTATGAAACCGCTGACAGACGCTCATTAGTGTTAATATTATATTAACCGAGCGATACTACTGTAACTGTCTGGTACACGATAGTAATCTGTACTATATTGTGATGCTAGCACACGAGTTTAAGCTAACATGGTTAGCTCAAGCTGCCCCCCCCCCCCCCCCCCCCCCGCACAATCTCTCTGCTTTGGCCGATGGTTTCTCCCGCTGGTTGGTGTCTGCTCTCTGGGGCAGCAAACTCATTACTTTATGGTTCTGGTCCATCAGAAGTAGAATTATAAACATTTAAAGGTTCCTCTGTGTCAGAGCCACAGTAGAGTCCATGTTTTCCTCTGGATTCTTGGCAGTACTAATCTAGATTAGATGGAATCTAACGTAGCTTAGCGTTTTAGAGAGAGGGAGAGACGCCTGTCATCACCTGGGCAGGCGGCACGGACCTGGGTCCGACCCAGAAACCAGCTTCCCGGCTCGCAAGGAAATTTTCTAAGCTCCCCATCCGCTTCATGAGCTCAGCATGGAGCTCCCTGAGCTGCTTCCGGAGCCAGTGGGGTATTTTTAAAAGCCTGTTCCGGAGGACAGGAGGCGTGATGAACTCCCATCATGTCGCTGGGATTGTAATCCAGCGCTCTGAAGTGTGCACTACAAAAAGCCGAGTTTTCAGCTACACACAAGAAGGAAGGGAAGATGGTGCCGCTCTATCTCTCTTGGACTCGATGTCCGGACCCACTGGAGTTGTGGGGCTGTTATGTATTGTCAAACAAAATACCCACAATTAGCGTTTCAAATAGTATTTTTGGACGGCATTTTACATGAAATTAAAATAACATTTAACCTGCTATTTGCTCTTTAAACATTAGACTGACGGTGGTTTTACCTCTCAGCCAGCCCCCCTTTGCTCAGCGAGGAGATGATGATGGGGTCGAAGGGCTCCTCGGTCCCTGAGATGGTGATTCCTAAAGGGCCTCCATACCTCTGCAGCTCCACTGTGTAGATGATGCTTCCAGACACTTCCTGTTCATCTGTAATGTCAATAAAGCTTTATGCAAACCAACCGTGGGCCAGGTGAGTAAAACAAGAGAGGTAAGAGTCTAGAGGCTCTTGTAGCGTAGGAGAAGGCCATGTAACGCAAAGGTTTAGACATCTGTCAACAACCTGCCCTACTAGAGAGCAGAGGTCATCAGACCAGCCGGTTTTATCTGCCTGGAATACCCTGGCCATCTGGATACGTCGTCATAACAACCTCTCATGTTGACATGGAGATGCACTTACATACTCTCTCCACTTTATCTCATTTGGTCTCATAAATGACTTCCTACCTTTACAAGTTATTTACAATAAAGTTCTGTTTCGGCTGAAGTGATTTAATAACGCATTGACTGCTTCACAATGAATGAATCAACATAAATGTTTATTCTTGAAACGCCATATTTCAGATCTTAAATTCACCAAATGGAAGAAGAAGAAGAAGAAAATATCATTTCTATAGCGCCTCTCAAGATAAAAATCACGAGGCGCTTCACAAAAAAAAGTAAAAATATAAAAAAGTGTTTAGAAAATGGTTAAAATATATTTAAAATGAGCAAAAATAGACAATTGTGATTAAAAAATGTTAAGAACAAGAGAGAGTGAACAGGAAAGAGGGAAATCAGTGGATCCTGAGGAAGGTGGAATAGGTGGAGAGAGCAGAATAAAGAGAGAGAGGTGAAGAAGGTCATACAAAAGCCAGCTTGAACAAGTGAGTCTTCAGCTGCTTTTTAAAGGAGACCACTGAGTCCACTGATCTCAGGCTCAGGGGGAGAGAGGTCCAGAGTCTGGGGGCCACAGCAGCAGATGATCTGTCACCTTTGACCTTTAGCCTGGTGCTGCACAACCAGTAGGCTTTGGTCACTGGACCTCAGGGACCTGCTGGGGGTGTAGGGACTAAGAAGATCACCAATGTAAGATGGTGCTTGTCCATGTAAGGCCCTATAGACCAGAACCAGGATCTTGAAATGAACCCTGAAGTTGACTGGCAGCCAGTGAAGCTGGAGGAGAAGCGGGGTGATGTGGGTGTGTTTGGAGGACTTGGTCAGAAGCCGAGCACAGGCGTTCTGAACCACCTGTAGACGGTTCAGGGAGGTTCTGCTCAGACACGTGAAAAGAGAGTTACAGTAGTCTAAGCGTGAGGAGATGAAGGTGTGGAGAACTGTCTCAAGTTCAGAGCGGGACAGAATGGGACTCAGCTTAGCAACGTTCCTGAGATGGAAGAAGGAAGAGCGAACAAGAGAACTGACATGAGAATCCAGGGTGAGAGCTGGGTCAAAGGTCACGCCAAGATTCCTGACAGAAGGTTTGGTGTGGGAAGCAAGCTGACCAAGAGAGTCTCTGACTTTGGGAACCAGCTTGTCTGGGGCACAGATGAGGATCTCAGTCTTATCTTCATTCAGCTGAAGAAAGCTCCCACCATCCAGGTTTTGATAGAGTCTAAGCAGGTGTGTAACAGCTGCAGCTTAGACATCTCATGGGGCTTAAAGGAGATGTACAGTTGGATGTCATCTGCATAAAGGGGTTGATGATTTAATAATGATTTATTATCAGTTAAGTCACATGTTAATATCAGTATATTAACTGGTTAACTTCACATATTAGGTGAAATAAGCGTTTCTGCGTCTGAGAAAGGGGAGGTCTGATAACGCCCATTACACTTTCTGGCTGCTGATTTGTCCAAAACTTCTGAACAACAAACCTTTAAAAGGAAAGGCACAAACCTAACCCAGACATCACCTTTCTGAGCCACTTAGTGAAGCTCTTAAACACACCGGGTCATGCTCCATCAGAGGTCATTCACTGTCTCATTTAACATCACTTTGAATTAGGGATGGGTACCTTTGACATTTGAATCGATACCGGTACTTAACGGTACCAATTTTAGATACTTTTGAGTGTTTAATATTTTTAATTCTCTTTTATAATTAAATATATATTTTTCTCTATAACCATATTTGATAAATATCACGATAAATAACATACCACTGTTTGTATTTTAACATGGTCCTTGTAGTTTTATAAGCTGATAATTAAACTGAAGCAAACATTTTTACTGTGAACTAAATTTACTGTGTATCTTCATTCCTTTTGCCGTCTTTTTTCTTTTGATTTTTCCTACTGGGAAGTTAGAATTTCCGAGGAGAAAGCGAATGCACCATTAGCTGATAACAACGGTGTCATAGGAAGCTAACATATCAAGCTAACGTTATCTTAAACAGCTTATTTAGCTGGTGGAGCAGATTAAAACGATGATGCCTCACACTTAGATCGTTGTCACTGGTTTCATCTTCACCCAAATCACCCGTCGCATTTAGTAAAGTGAAGCCAAACTTTAGAGCGCGTTCATGTTCTTCTAGTCGGAAATTCGGAGTTTCGAGGAGAAAGCGAACGCACCATTAGTGAAACGGAAGCTAACAAATCAAGCTAACGTTATCTTAAACATTTTATTTACCTACCGGAGCAGATTAAGACGAGGATGTCTCACTTAGATCGTTGTCGCTGGTTTCATCATCACCCAGTTACCCATCACATTTAGTGAAGTGGACCCAAGCTTTAGCGTGCGTTCTTTCTACCATGCTGCTCTGTTTACAACTCGCTCGCAGCGACCGATGACATAACGCTCTTGCGCATGCGCAGCTGTCTAGGCAAGTTCTCGTTATGAAGGACGGGTACCGAAACGAGGCACCGTTTCAAATTAAGTGAATCGGTGCTCGGTCGGTACTGTGGAATTCGGTCGGTACCTTAAAAAGTACCGAATTCGGTACCCATCCCTTCTTTAAATCACCATTTATAACCATTTGTCCTTCATCATCATAGTAATAGAAATATAGTAATAAACTGATTTTTATAAACTATTATAAAGTGTCGTTTCCCTGCCGTACCTAAAGTACCCAGTTTCATCATCAATCCAATATCAAAGGTTCAGTAATATCGATCATCCATATTTTATGGAATACCTTTATATTCTATTGGTCATTTATTAAAAGTAACCACCTACTAATGGTTGCAGGTGTGACCTCTGATCAGGGTTCTGGGACCTACTTTAGTTTAGATAAGAGAAACAAAATGGGGACCTGAGTTGTCTTCGTCTTTGCGGATCTTCAGTTTGACGAGTTCCTCACACTGATGGAGGATCTGAACAGCTTCCTCCATGGAGCAGTTTTCCACCCGGATGTTATCGATGGCCAGCAGCTTGTCTCCGAGCTCCAGAGTTCCCGTCCTGGAGAAAAAACATCTTCATCAGGGCGAGGTTTAGTTCTCCTTCTGTAACGGCCACGCCTGGTTAGAAGTGACAGAACTCGACCCAGACCCGGTTTCCTTCCCTGTTCAGTCGTGCTGGTCGGAAACGAGTTTCTGTTCTACTAAATTAAAACTCCCACCAGGTGTACCGAGGTGGCTTGAGAATGTGGCTGGGGGGGCGGAGTCTCTGGTTGCTGCCCCCGCCCACCAACAGCTGCTACATTTGGAGTTTCAACTTTTTTACAAAGACTATAAAAATATTCTAGAGAAAAGTGTCGATGAGACGAGCAGCTTTGACTAAAAAATACGGAGTTCTGGTCCTCTTTGCCCAGCCCTAGCAGGGTGTAGGGGGCGGGGTTACCTGTGAGCTACGCTGCCTTTCTTGATGTCTGAGATGATCAGAGGATCGCCTGGTTTCCTGTTGGACGGAGCTTCAGACACAAACAGAAGAGCGGCTTTAGTCTCAGAGCGGAAAGACGTAAGGCAGGTGGTCGTAATGTTGTGGCGGAACTCACAACTGATGGTGATTCCCAGCTCCACGCCTGGTTTCTTTGGGAGCTTTACGTGGAACGTTCCTGAACTCGGGATAACTGACTCTGGAAAAACAAGGAGGCAGGATAACAAAACCATCTGAGTCAGGAATCGTCATGACAACGGCTTTGTGCCGATGTTGGAGTTCATCCGTCTGACTTCACAGATGATGAGGAAAGCAGCCCTCAGCTGTTGTGAATTTATCCCGTAAAAACATCCAAATGGAAACGGACCCAACACCGACTCATCAGGAAAGTCAAAAGCTTAAGCCTCTGCTTGTCGTTGGTCATGGAAGATGCTGCTTTTAGGAACGACCTCGCTCACAGTCTCGGTAGGAATCAGGCGTCGGATGAAAACAGACTCGGGTTAAACGTTTTCAGCGTCAAACTGAAATCTTTGTAGCAGAAAACCTAAAAATCTGGAATTTAAAAAACCAAAAACCTGCTTTTACAAGAATTCACGAGTCTGCTAACTGAAACAACCCCTGGTTGCTATGGAAACCGTTTCACTCAGGTTTACTAAGTTTAACTTTGTGATGATTAGACTACACGTAAGTCGGTGTTTGGTCCCACATCAGCGGGACGGTTGTGATGCAGCGCTGGACAGTTTTCTGACTGAAGGTGTGATTTCAAACGACACGACGACCCGATGTCCCAGGATCTGACGTGTCATCGTTTTCGCCATCCGGCGTTTCCCCCGATAGTGACAGTGGCTGAGCTGCACATGCACTGTTTTTTTCTGATACGTTATGAACTTTGACCCGGCCCTATGACCGGTGGGTCAGGAGGTCGTTAGCCAACAGATAAAACATTCCTAGCGGCGTTATCAGTGACGGGTTTCAGCTACACGATGGGTTCATGTTCATCTGATGAGCGTCGGCGACATCACACAGCGAGTCTGAGTCACTTTAACATTTTAGTGAAGCTGAGCGGGCAGGACGTGTTTCAGTCCGACAAACAGGAAACAGAACGGACTGTTGCTGTTCCCATCATCAACAAACACAAAGAATCTGGACACAAGCTGCTGTTTGACCAGAAGGATCCCGTTAGCGATTACCCGCCACGTCAAACTCGATCTCCAGCGTGAGCTGAGCGGTGATGGACGAATCCCGGAGCAGCTGGTTGGTCTCCTCCAGGGTCGAGTCTTCGGTCGGGACGCCGTTGATGGACAGAATCCTGTCGCCAATCTGAAGAATCCCACACCTGCAAACACAGCACGCTGAGCTCAGACCACACCACCCCAGGGTGAGTGGGCGGGTCTCACGACGTGATGCAATAATATCACTAAACATCTGTGACAATCTAGAAGTTATTAGATGTGTTTGTAAAAGATCAGAAGTGCAGGAGTTTATCTGAGAAAACTGGCCTAAAACCTCCTGACAGGGATTTTGATCATAGATCCGTAAAAACTAGAGACGTTCCGATCATGCTTTTACTCCAGATACGACTACGGCTCATTTGATTTTGGGAATCTGCCGACACTGAGTCCCGATACGATATTTTAGAAATTGATTAATTAATAAATCAATCAATCAATCAATTAATTATTTAATTAATTAATTAATAACTTAATTAATTAATTAATTCCTTCCATCCATTTTCATCCGCTTATCCAGTGTCGGGCAGTAGCCTAAGGCGAGAGGCCCAGACTTCCCTCTCCCCAGCCACTTGGGCCAGCTCCTCCGGGGGAATCCCAAGGCGTTCCCTGGCCAGGTGAGAGACATAGTCCCTCCACCGTGTCCTGGGTCTTCCTTTAGGTCTCCTCCCGGTTGGACATGCCCGGAAAACCTCACCAGGGAGGCGTCCAGGAGGCATCCTGACCAGATGCCCGAGCCATCTCAACTGGCTCCTCTCGATGTGGAGGAGCAGCGGGTCTACTCCGAGCCCCTCCCGGATGACCGAGCTTCTCACCCTATCTCTAAGGGAGAGCCCAGCCGCTCTTCGAAGAAAACTCATTTCGGCCGCTTGTATCCGTGATCTCGTTCTTTCGGTCACTACCCAAAGCTCATGACCATAGGTGAGGGTAGGAACGTAGATCGACCGGTAAATCGAGAGCTTCGCCTTCTGACTCAGCTCTCTCTTCACCACGACAGACCGGTACAACGCCCGCATCACTGCAGATGCAGCACCAATCCACCTATCGATCTCACGCTCCAGTTGTCCCTCACTCGTGAACAAGACCCCGAGATACTTAAACTCCTCCTCTTGGGGCAGGACCTCATCCCTGAGAAATGCAAACATTTTATTTTGAATCATTTATGCATTTCTTTCTGTTTTTGACTTTCTTTAGTTTAGCTGCCATAAATCACTCGTTCAGAAACGCGTTAATATTAATGACACATGTAAAAGCATCCTTGTTGCATCCTCATATTTGAAACAGTTGACTCAGTGTGCGGCTGTTTTCAGCGACAGCGATGGCGATCAGCAGCAGGGTGACTCTTTTCTACACAACACCTGTAGAGCTGCTGCATCTGTACAGGTAAAGGAGATCGTACCGCGACGCCAGGAGACTCCAAACCCGACGCGGGCATCCACAGACGTCATCCAGGGTCATAAATCTGCTGCCATCTTGGCGTTTTGCTGTCCGTAGACCATTTATTTTGTTTTTAACGTATCTGTGGTGTCGGCTGGCTTATCCGAATTGCTGCAGCGAACTGAGCAGGGTTAGTTTTTTGAGGTGGCGTGTGAGTCGTGGTGTTGAACGCAGCACCACCCTTTCCACCAGTTAAATGCCGGTTTGCACACATTACACTCCCTCTGCTGTTTGTTTAGAATATCAAATTACAGACATTTTCTCTCTTAAGGCGAAAGCCATGCTCTGTTAGCTAGCTGCTGTGTGTTATGTGTGTGAACTCCCGGTCTACCTTAAACTTTACGGTATCGTTTGTGACACAAAGAGCACTGATGGAGAGGATCTAAGCCGTCGTTTTTCCGTTAGAAAATCTCTTTCTCCGGACGAATTTAAACGTTTGTTGTTTTAAGCGGTTAAATCCAGTTGTCCCCTCCGATTCCAACCTGTTTAAAATCACACGGTTGGACCCGATTTCCGATTGTGTCGGAGCGTCCCTGGTAAAAACTGCTGAAATGTGCAAATAAACAAGTACAAAAAGTTCCACCTAATGAAGTGAAGTTAATCTAGAGTTCTCTATTCAACAAAAACATTATCTGGCTCCAGATTTTCATATTTACAGAAAAGGTTCTCCGTCTGTCAGAAACACGAAAGCACCCAAACGTCCTTCCCGTCTCCATCTCACCTCTCAGCAGGACTGTCCGGGTCAATGTAGGCGATGAGCGGCGGGGATGACAGCGTTTCTGTGGCAAACACTCCACCCTGGAGCTGCAGGCCGAACCCCATGATGCCGTCTCCTAGCAACATCACCTCGGTGGTTTCTGTGTGGACCACCTGACCGGCGAGGCCCACGGTGCTGGACGCCAGAGATACTGATGGGAGAATTTTAACGACATTCAATTACAAACAGACTCAGTTTCTGTTTGCTCCCGCTCGTGGGCTAATACAGTTTTATTCAAAACGTGGATAGACTCACAGGAGCTCTTGAACTCCTTCTTCTTAGCCTTCCTCCTCATCATCGTGCTGCGTGGACTTGTGGGATACATGTTCCTGGGCAGGGTGCTCATGTTGAGGGACGAGAGACTGTAGGCAGACATGGAGCCGGGAGAGAACGAGTGGCTAAGGGCTGGGGAGAGAGAGGGAGAGAGGGAGAGAGGGAGAGAGGGAGAGAGGGAGAGGGAGAGAGAGAGAGAGAGAGAGAGAGAGAGAGAGATTTAGTCAAACTCTCTTGCCCCTTATTTAAAGAAGCAGAGAAGCGGGGCGGACGTACGAGGGTTGTTTGTATGGCGGCTGTGCGATCTGCCACCTGACTGGTCGGGGTGATAGGTGTTGTAGTGGTAGGGGGGGAGGATGGGGGTGGAGCCTCCGGTTTCCCAGGGGAGGGGGCGGGGACTACGTTGCACCTTGACTGCACACACGCACACGCACGCACGCACACACACACACACACACACACACACACACACACACACACACACACACACACACACACACACACACACACACACACAGGAGGATGTTCAGGTTCAGACAAGAGGAGCAGGCAGAGGTCAAAGGTCAGGAGGTTCTGCAGCAGTACAAAGAAGTTTGATTAGAACCACGTTTCCTAAGATGGTCAACAAGATAGTTCCTGAACAAGTCCTCCGGTCCACGATCAGGTGTAGAAGGAAGCATCATTCAGGTCCTTAACTCTGTTTCAGTATCAGACTTTTAGACTCCTTTCATCTACTAGGAAACCGTTTATCTGAATGACCCAGAGGTCAGAGTTAAACAGAATGACTCTGCAGGTCACAGGTCTCTCAATAAGATGTTTGCATTCATGTCGACTTGTGGAATAAAAGCCATTCTTTGTCTCCTCTAACAGAAAGTCGTGGTGCATTTAAGGCCTCCTCAATGTCAAGAGTTTGTTTAGGATCCATTAAATTTGACGTCTTTATGTTCCCATCATACTGGAGGACATTTGAGTCCAGCAGAGATGTACATGTAGGGGAGCGAGTTATAAATCTGTCAGCTCACCAACATCTCCGTCCAGAACCAACTAATCTCTCCTACAGGTGGTTTCTGTCTGCTTAATTAACAGCAAAGCAGTAAAACATAAGTTATGTAAAAAAGGTCCCAAAAGATCTGTAAACAGAAAACAAAACAGACATGTGGTGGTGCGTTCAGGGCCTGCTGTGTTTTAATACTGAGCTGTGGTGCGTTCAGGGCCTGCTGTGTTTTAACACTGAGCTGTGGTGCGTTCAGGGCCTGCTGTGTTTTAACACTGAGCTGTGGTGCGTTCAGGGCCTGCTGTGTTTTAACACTGAGCTGTGGTGCGTTCAGGGCCTGCTGTGTTTTAACACTGAGCTGTGGTGCGTTCAGGGCCTGCTGTGTGTTACTATCGAGCTGTGGTGCATTCAGGGCCTGCTGTGTGTTAATACTGAGCTGTGGTGCGTTCAGGACCTGCTGTGTGTTAATATTGAGCTGTGGTGCATTCAGGAGCTGCTGTGTATTAATATACCGTGCTGTGGTGCATTCAGGGCCGGCCGGGCCTGGTGCTGAGGCAGGATCTCCATACGGACGGTCTGACAGGAAGCGGAGAGCAGCTGAGTGGCTTCAGCCAGGGAACAGAATTCCATGGACTTCCCGTCGACAGACAGGATGTGGTCTCCTGCATGAAGAGCGCCGCACCTACACACAAACACTCATGTTCACCAGAAGGTGGAAGCTAAAACCCATAAAAACCTGCAAACTGGAGGAACGTTGTGCCCATCGAGTGAAGCGAGTCATGAAAGCATCAAGGCAATCAAGAAGAACGTCTGTAACTGACTCTGAGACAAACGCAAAAGACCCCATCAGCGCTATGATTCCTTCAGACAAACACAGCAGAAGGTCAGATCTGTTCAGCAAACATTAAATTATTCAGATGTCTGAGAAAATAATCCGTTTACTGAGAAAAAGGTTTATCATCAAATAAAGAAATGAAAGTTCTGCCAAGCGGGCTGTGGTACCTGTCCGCTATACTGGCTGGTTTGACTTTGTCGATGACGATGACCTGCTTACTGCAGAACACGGAGGTGGACAAGGCCACACCCAGACTGGAACCCGTTGGCTTGGCAACCTCAACCAGCAGGGGCCCCGACGCCGTAGCAACCGAGTCTACGGAGAAAAAACAGCGAGTGTAACGTGTTTCTGAATCTAGTTTAATTCCCTCATCCTGGTGTTCCACAGGGCTTTGTCTTTAGGTGCACTACTTTTAATAACTGAACTACCTCTTCATTAATTTTGTTCATTTGGTTTTAATCGGACTAAACTGACCCATCACGGACACGTCATACTCGATCAGCAGCGTGGCCTCCTGGCCGCACTGCTTCAGGATGCTCATGGCCTCAGACAGCGTGCTGCCATGGAGACGAATCCCATCGATGCTCAGCAGTCGATCACCCGGCTTCACGGTTCCTTCTCTATAGAAACAAAGTTGCTTTCAGTTTGTATGGAAGCTCAAAAGGGTCAAAAATGTCTGAACAGGAGTGAATGGAAGAGGCAGCACCTGTCAGCTGGCCCGCCCGGCCTGATGGTTGTTATGACGATGGGGCGGGTCTTGTTCCTGTCCTCGTACGCTCCGCCTGCGCAGGTAGTCACACGATGTGTTTGTTTTGGATTGCGTTAAACAAACAAACAAACAAACACATCTCACCTCTAATGACAAAGCCAAAGCTGTTTCCCTCCTTGTGAAGAGTGACTTCCACGTTCTTGAAGACGACCCCTGACCCCTGCACAGCTGCAACAGACCAGAACATCAACATCCCAGCTGATCGGACCCAGCAGAACCACATTCAGAAGGACACTAGAACACATTAGGTGTTGGATCAGAACTTCTTACAGACGGGCGGCAGCTCGTATTCCACCTCCAGGACCACCCGCTCCCCGACGTTCTTCAGCAGACTGATGATCTCGTCGTGTCTGAACTTGGCCAGGTTGATCCCGTTGACCGAGCGAATGTAGTCGCCCACATTCAGCTGGTCGCTCCTGAAATAACAACAACGACGATCATTAAACTTCTCGTGTTTTCTTCAGCTCAGACATGAAGATCCGGTCCAGAGGTTGTCCACATCTGCATTTGCTGCTGCTGGCTATGAAATGTGATTCTGAACCGTTCCAGCTACTAAACACCTGAAAAGTTCTGACCTCTAACTAGTTTATTCAAGTACAAATGATGAATATTGTAAAAAGAAGGTTCTGAGTTTTGTGTCAGGTTTCTTTTGAACCTTTAGAAGAAAGAAAGCGAGTTTAATCTTTTCATTCCTGAGGAATCAGGAATCCCGATGAAGACGAGGGTCACCTGGCAGCGATGCCTCCCTGTCGGAGGTTGGAAACCCGAGGTTTCCCATCTTTATCGATCCCACCGGAAACCGTGAGTCCGAGCGTCGTTCCCTCCTTCTTCATCAGCTCCACCAGCGTGGCGCCCCGGAACTCGTCTAGAGAAACGACAGTAGGTTATGGGAGCGTCGCTCCTCCTCGAGGCCTGATTTCAGGTTGCCCTGTTTTCTCTAAAACAGAAATAAAAGCATCCTCTGGACAATCAGAGAAGTGAAGCCATCATCTATGCTGTTGTTTATCTATATTTCATCAAAGAGCTGAATTATTTATCCGAGGAAGAGCGGAGTGGAGTCGGCGCTCCGAGCTGACCTGCTGCCGTGTCTTCAGGTGATACAACAGAAAGCAGGAATTCCTTCCGACGTTCTTCTGTAATATGAATGAGCTTCTCGTCCAGACACCGTCTTCATCTACGACACGCTGCAGCATCAGAACCGCCGAGGAGCTCCGCTGAAGCTGCACTTTACAGCATCATTACCATCGAACACAAATGCACGTCCTCGGATCTGAGTGGTTTAACAGCGGATGACATCACTCACAACTTCCTGTGGACAAGTTACCAGTTCCACCAGTTGGTGTGAATAATTTAGAGGCTGCAGTGGTTTTCCTAGGATTCATAAACGGGTGGACCAGCTGATGCTCATCAAAAACCCAGGAACGGACCCGGAGTCGGGCGGGGCGGCGAGACACGACACCGGTTTAATCTGCCTGACGTCTTAGTCTGAGGAGTGTACTTCCTGTCAACTCTTCTTCTGCTGCTGTTGTTTCTGCAGCGGTGTGTGTCTGTTTATTAAGATCCCCATTAGCCGCTGTTAAAACATTATTAATGCATCAACACTGGGCTCACAAGCAAACAAACCATTTCATGTACAATATACATCTCCGCTGTAAGAATGCACCACGTTCCACCCAGTACAGCAACTAAATATAATACATTTCCCAGTAACATAAAACAGGGATTCCTCAACGCACCGGACAAGAAAACATTAAATAAATAAAGTATGAAACTCATCTTCCTCATGTTAACTCGTGTAAAAAGGGTATAAATAAATATCAGCAACCTCTAACAAAAATCACTCCGTTGTAGCTGACCCCTCAAGAATTGTGGTAAACCATTCTATTCCACCATAGCTCTATACCATACTGACCTATGAAGAAAATTAGTTTGACTAACTGGCAACAAAAAGCAACCATCAGCTTGACGCGTAGCACGTTGGTGAACATCTCTGAAAAATGTCTGGTGTTTGTGTATTTATAACATTCCTAATAAATGTTATAAGTAAATACTTTACTCCAATCCACGTGTGTTTTGTGGATTTGGAGAAGGCTTATGACCGTGTCCCCAGGGGCACCCTGTGGGGGGCGCTCCAGGAGCATGGGGTGGGTGGCTTTCTGTTAAGGGCCGTTCAGTCCCTTTACCAGAGGAGCGTGAGTTTGGTCCGCATAGCCGGTAGTACGTCGGACCTGTTCCCGGTGAGGGTTGGACTCCGCCAGGGCTGCCCTTTGTCACCGGTTCTGTTCATAACCTTTATGGACAGAATTTCTAGGCGCAGCCGTGGTGTGGAGTGTGTCGAGTTTGGTGGCAGGAGAATCTCATCGATGCCTTTTGTGGATGATGTGGTCCTCCTAGCTTCATCCAGCTCTGACCTTCAGCTCTTGCTGGGTAGGTTTGCGGCCGAGTGTGAAGCGGCTGGGATGAGGATCAGCACCTCCAAATATGAGACCGCGGTTCTCGACCGGAAAAGGGTGGCTTGCCAACTCCGGGTCGGGGGAGAGGTCCTACCTCAAGTGGAGGAGTTTAAGTATCTCGGGTTCTTGTTCACGAGTGAGGGTAGGAGGGATCGGGAGATCGACAGGCGGATTGGTTCGGCATCTGCAGTGATGCGGACGCTGAGCCGATCTGTCGTGGTGAAGAGGGAGCTGAGCCAGAAAGCCAGGCTCTCGATTTACCGGTCGATCTACGTCCCAATCCTCACCTATGGTCATGAGCTTTGGGTAATGACCGAAAGAACGAGATCGCGGATACAAGCGGCCGAAATGAGTTTCCTCCGTAGGGTGGCCGGGCTCAGCCTTAGAGATAGGGTGAGGAGCTCGGACATTCGGGAGGGACTCGGAGTAGAACCGCTGCTCCTCCGGATCGAAAGGAGTCAGTTGAGGTGGTTTGGGCATCTGGTCAGGATGCCTCCTGGACGCCTCCCCGGGGAGGTGTTTCAGGCATGTCCTGCCGGCAGGAGGCCCCCGGGTCGACCCAGGACACGTTGGAGAGGTTACATCTCCAATCTGGTCCGGGAACGCCTTGGGGTCCTGCCGGAGGAGC